CAGTACGTGCAGAATCCCTTCACACAGGCATCTGAGACAGCACGTCAAACAGTGGGAACACACGGAAGACCCATCAGTACCGATACAGTGTGCCGACATCTCACCAGAGAGAGCATGGACCTTACCGATCCTCACTCATCGCCATCGACGTGTACATCTACAGTTTGCACAACAACACCAGAACTGGCGACACATGCAATGGAGAACTGTCCTGTTCACAGACGAGAGTCGGTATTGCGTATCAACTGCAGATGGCAGGACCAGAATATGGCGTCGACGTGGCCAGCGTTATTCTGATCAATGTGCCATGGAACGAGACTCATAGGCAGGTCCAGGCATAATGATTTGGGTTGGAATCGGCCTGAACCAGAGAGTGGGTTCTGTGTTGTTCCAAAATCCTGGTCCAGGGAGAGGAGGCGGCATCACAGCAGCGCGCTACATCGACCATGCTCTCAGACCCCACGCCATACCACATTTCGCACATCATCGAAACAATGTTTTCCAGCATGACAACGCCCGTGCTCACACCGCCAGAGTTACTCAGGACTTTCTACAGCAGAACGGCGTCAACGTTATGCACTGGCCAGCCCTTAGTCCGGACTGAACGTCTTGGGGATAAAATTCAGAGGAGACTTAATTACGTCGTACCGAGACCAAACGTTCTCGTAATGTCTTGAAATTGTGATGAATTAATCACTAATGTGTCAACATATTGTTCACAAAAAATTGCTTTGATCCATTTAGTAAATCGTTTTCTAGAATGATTTGATTAAAGTGCCTCTTTGATTTTGAAATCGTACTGACGTTTCTTTTTTTTTTTTTTTTTTTGCTGTTTAGTATATTATTGCAGACGGTATTTATACCCCTTTTACAGATATGCAAAGTTCCACCTCCCTAAATTTAGCAGGTAGTTCAACCAGCATGTAGACAGACAGCAAAAATATGAAAATTCCGAGAAAAACTCAATAAAAGTAATGATTAAATTCCAGTCTGCATCATGGTTTAAATCATATCAAATATACACCTTTGTGTTCTAGGATACACATAGATTCATAAAAACGTCACGGCACAACAAAAAGACGGTAAAAAGGTACGACAATTTTATACGGACCTTTTCGGTATGAAAGCTGTTCGATACGTGCTTTCGTATCACGTATGAGAAATACACACGCATTGATGACGTCATACGCCAAATCGATACGGATACGCGATACGGACCATGAATTACGCTTGCCAAAAGTCACTATTACTACAACAAACCCTACCCCAGACTCTAATATTTTATGCAACTATTTTACTATACAGGGCCTACTAATCACCGACAAGAGCGGTTTTTTTGGTCAACAGCGTCCACAGCATTGCAAAAAAAGCAGGGAAAGAAAATGAAATGAAATGAAATGGGGTTTAACGTCCTACTGTTCTGCTCCTAAACTGGGCTAATGAAGACGGGCATACGTCATACAGTGTGCTATGAGGGAAATTTTGCCCGGGCAGCGGCACTACGGCCTACTCTTATATCGAATTCCAACTGCCAAGGGATCTTTTACGTGCACGCCAATATGTACACGGGACCTCGGTTTTTCGTCCCATCCGAACGACTAGACAGCTGTCCTTGTCAGGCCCTCCGTCCTGCATCACTGACAAGGGGAAACCTCGCTGGAAAATCTGGATGAACTTTCTCGGCCAATGCAGGGATCGAACACCCGACCTCCAGGCTAGCGAGCCAGCGAAAGATATGTTATACATATTCTACATATCATATCCAAAATTTAAATGATTTCCTAAAAAAAAAAGACGGGCCCGTATCTACAGGGGGGCGCGGGGGGGGGGGGGGTTATGCTCGCCCCCCCCCCCCCCCCGCTCAGAAATTGCTAACAATCATTAAAGTATACACAGTTCCTTATATTAACCTAAAAAAACTACGCTTCCCTAAGCAGGAGGAGGTATAATTCAGGCGACTATGCGCATATTAATCCCACGGTATCTCATTACTTTATAAACCATTTTTTTTGTACTAATCTTAAATAGTTTTAAATAAATTTTAAAAATCACGATTTTTTTTGTTTGAATACTTATTTTAAAATGCTTATTAGACGCCTAGGTAACTACATAGAATGATGATTACAACAGTCTGTTAGAATGACCTTTCCTATAAGGTAACTCCATAGCATGATTATTACAACAGTCTGTTAGAATGACCTTTCCGAAAATTTCCTCAAAATGTTCGCCCCCCCTACCGAAAGGTAATGCCCCCCCCCCCCCGCTTAATGGTGTCTAGATACGGGCCCGAAAAAAGGCTAAAAAAACTAACAACGTTCTTGTCGTTGCTGTTCGGTGACTAATACAATACTAACAAACCCGACTCCTCATCATCACAAACCCTGGATCTAGTATCTTATAATCATCATCACCCCTGGATGTAGTATTTTATCATCATCACAACCCCTGGTTCTAGTATTTTATAATCACCACCACTACTCCTGGATCTAGTATTTTATAATCATCACAATCCCTGGATCCAGTATTTTATAATCATCGCAACTCCTGGATCTAGTATTTTATATTCATCATCATCACCCCTGGATCTAGTATTTTATAATCATCACAACCCCTGGGGCCTGGATCCAGTATTTTATAATCATCATCACTACCCCTGGTTCTAGTATTTTATCATCATCACTACCCCTATTTCTAATATTTTATATTCATCATCACAACCCCTGGATCTAGTATTTTATAATCATCATCATCCCTGGATCTAGTATTTTATAATCATCATCACTACCCCTGGATCTAGTATTTTATCATCATGACATTCACAACCTCTGGATCTAGTATTTTATAATCATCATCACCCCTGGATCTAGTGTTTTATAATCATCACAACCCCTGGTTCTAGTATTTTATAATCATCATCACCCCTGGATGTAGTATTTTATAATCATCACAACCCCTGAATCTAGTATTTTATAATCATCACAACTCCTGGATCTAGTATTTTATAATCACCACTACCTCCGGATCTAGTATTTTATAATCACCATCATCTCAGCCCCTGGATTGTGACGCCCAGTGTTACCTTGGTACGTTTAATATTACGAGGATTCTAAATGATGAATAAATAAAGACGGATAGGTGGATATCTGAGATTTATACTGACAAAAATAGACAACTGACATTATCAAAGATGTAAGAGTAGGCCATAGTGCCGCTGTCCGGGCAAAATTTCCCTCATAGCACACTGTATGGCGTATGCCCGTCTTCATTAACGCAGTTTAGGAGCAGAACAGTAGAACGTTAAACCCCATTTCATTTCATTTCATTTCATTTCTCTGCCAACAGCAACGTTTTTCTCAAATAGTAGAGGGTGGAATATACTAAATTATATATTTCTGAAAATCTCGGGATATTGTTATTTTGTTATTAATACCACGTGTATTATCATGGTACAAATTTTAGCCAATGAAAAGGCGGATGTCTTATAATCTTTTAGTTTTAAGTTTTCTAAAAAAATGAAATGAAATGGGGTTTAACGTCCTACTGTTCTGCTCCTAACCTGGGCTAATGAAGACGGGCATACGCCATACAGTGTGCTATGAGGGAAATTTTGCCCGGGCAGCGGCACTACGGCCTACTCTTATATCGAATTCCAACTGCCAAGGGATCTTTTACGTGCATTCCAATGTATACACGGGACCTCGGTTTTTCGTTTCACCCGAATGACTAGACAGCTGTCCTTGTCAGGCCCTCCGTCCTGCATCACTGTACAAGGGGAAACCACGCCGGAAAATTTAAGTTTTCTAGAAATAAATCTCCCGGTCATTTAGAGCAACACACTAAGACGTATCTTTCGACCTTCTAATTATTATTATTATTTATTACAGCATATTTATAGTGCACCCTTTCATATAACATTTTGAGGGGCACTTTACAAAGTGACAATGTAATCATAAATAAACAACAAGATTATGGACATGTTAACGAGTATATTCAGGACCAGTTAAAAGCCTGATTAAATGTGTTTAAGTTGTTTTTTAAAAGAATATAGAGATGTACAACATCTTAAACTAAATGGTAAATTATTCCATAAAACAGGTGCTTGATAACTAAAAGAGACTAGTTGAACAGTTTTGGGCTTTAAAAGTAGTTTATCTGATGTACGTAATGTTCGGTCAGGTGTATAAAGTTCTAAAAGATCTGAGAGGTAAATAGGAGCTAAATTATTTAAACATTTAAAATTAAGTAATAAAATCTTAAAATCAATTCGATAATTAACAGGTAACCAGTGTAAATTATATAAAACAGGAGTTGTGTGGTCACATTTCTTAGTTAAAGTAACAAGTCTAGCTGCAATATTCTGTACTTTTTGTAATTTATCTATAAGCTTTAAAGGTAAACCAACTAAAAGTGAATTAAAGTTATCTAATCGAGAAGTGACCAGAGAATTAACAAGTGACTTAGTGGCCTCTACAGTTACATATTTTACCTATATTTCTGATATTAAAATAGCACAATTTACAAATATTATTTACTTGAGCTCCCATAAGCATAAAACTATCAAAGATTGCACCAATATTACGAGCAGAATAAGATCAAAATATATCACAATTGCCAATTACAACAGGGGGGTTATCATGTGCAAATTTACTTAATTGATGCCTTGAGCCTAATAACTAATATTTTGTTTTATCATCATCATTCAATTTTAGAAAGTTTTTTGACATCCATTTTCTAATTTCACTAATACAGTTCTCAGGTGGCAATTTTGATAAATTGAAAGAAGATGGACAATTAGGTGTAAATGAAATATATATTTGAGTATCATCGGCATACAAATAAAAGCTGAGACCATATTTTCTGACAATATCTCATAATGGTGACGTATAGAGGGTAAATAAAATCGGGCCAAGAACAGAACCTTGGGGAACCCCAGATGACAAACCTATTTTAAAACCTAACATACCAAGATTTTATTTTTCCTTAATACGAATTACAGCATTTGAATATCTGATCCTGATTACAATTTTTGCCAACTGCGTGGCCCTTGCTACATATACTCCATATCCTGAATCTGATACCAACGAAGTAAACATGGCTCTGGTAAGTAAAACACATGGAGTTTGTTTATTTATTAGTTTGTTAAAGCGGTCTTAAAGTTACAATTTCATATTTTTAAGTTATATTTTTAAAATTTATTAAAATAAAGCCTTAAAATAGATGGTATATATATAAACAGTCCTACCTTGTTAAAGAATAATCCTATTAATCCTATAATTCACTATTGCCAGTTGAGAAATTGGCAAAAATATCATTTTCCTCTTCCAATTCAAACGTTTGAAAAAAGCTACTCCATGGTGGAGAATAGAAAACAAGGGAGGTAATTGGGAGGTGAGAATGACACCTATGATCGTATAATAGTGAGTTGATAACCTATTGAGCAAAAGACATAGAAATAATTATGTTTTGACTTTCTTGGAAAATATGAAATTCTCGCTTTAAAGTAGCTAAGTCTCTAACTCAATATCATCCAAGGTCTTCGACATTGAAAACACGAATTATTTGTCAATTTAAATCAACACTGATATTGTGATCTTACTGGGACAAGATGGGCTTCTGATATCAAATATTTAAGACAAAATAAACATTTTACCATTGGTACACGAATCGTGTACCATAATGAGTTTCAGCGCCATTTGTAACAAGGGACTCGAGTAACGAGGCTAGACATATTCCACAAGTCATGTCAAACGGTGACGTCATATTCTTATCTGGAGCGCATGCGCAATAAATACTATCAGTGTAGATTGGAATAACTAGACACTAGAGATTGGCATTGCCACTTCTGGGGCCTGTTTCACGAAATTTTAACTAACATAAAAGCCAAATTTTAGTAATTTGATTGGATAATATTAGATTGATTTTAGTACTTAGCCAATCAAAATTGAAGTATCTACTAAAATTTGGATTTTATCTTTAGTTAAGGCCCAGGCGTATTTCGCCGAACATAACTGATTTGAAATTAAGAGTAAATCAGTTTATATACAACCATATTACATTATTATATGCGTTGCAACCCATTTGTGTCAATTTCTAGGTCCCTAATATTTAGACCTTTAAGACCTTAAAATAGGCTGACTAAGACTAATTTGATACCAACGAAGTACACACGGCTCTCGTGAGTAAAACACACGGAAACTGAATATTAATTATCTATTCTGCCTGAACTGTACCTATCAACTTTGGACCAGAAGACGGTTTCGAAGCGTTACTCATCGTGTTGTTCTTGTGGGTGACGCTCTTCGAAAAATGTTTAATGCTCCAAAAATTGATGGATGTACCATCAACATGAAACTTGTCATGCTTGTTCCTCGATTTAAAGGACCTAAGTCCGTAACTCAAAATCCTCCAAAATCTTCGACATCGAAAACACGAATTATTGGTCAATTTAAATCAACATTGATGATGTAAACTTACCGGAAAAAGATGAGCTTCTGATATCCGATATTTAAGATAAAATAATTTTTTTAACATTGGTACACGAATCGTGTACCATAATGCGCTTCAGCCACAGTTGTATTGAGAGACTCGAGGGACGAGGCTAGACACATTGCACTAAATCAAATGGAGTTATGTAGACTAGAATAACTAGACGCTAGAAATTTGCACTCGATTGAGATTGCTGACTTATTTCGCCGAACATAACTGATTTGAAATTGGAGTAAAAACGGAAACCATTAAATGTAAATCAGTTTATATACATTCATATTACAGTATTATATGCGTTGCGACCCACTTTTGTGAATTTCTAGTTCCAAAATGTTAGCGATTTAGCTCCTTTAAAGGACGTCATACTTCGGCAGATTCCGTTACTCCACATCTAGCCGAGGTTTGCCGAGTGTATCAGTTCCTGGTCCATTACACAGTACAGTGATACTTGTTTTAAACTAGGAGCTTGCATATTTTTAATGTAAAATGTCTACTAATTTGTATAAAAATATCAGTAAGATCATAAAACTAGGGATTTTATATTTTTTCAACCGAATTCTAGGTTAAGGTTAGGGTTAGCGGGAGGGGAGGGTTCATGTAGATTCCTCCACAGAAGCACGTTTTCCTTCCACCCACGCTGTCTTTTTTAACCCAGTTGGAGCAGAATAGTAGGACGTTAAACTCCATTTCATTTTATTTCATTTGCACCCAATGGGAATTGAACTCATGGCGACACCCATTCGCCTCGCAGTGGCCGGTCCTTCCCTGCACCACTGAGCTATCGCACAGACCCCTGGTCATTTCGGGACTAACATATGTGCGTAGGGGTCTTTAGCAGTGGGAGGAAACTGGAGGACCCGAAGAAAACCCACGAGGTTGGACAGGTGACCCTACTCTTTGTCACGTACAACCGGGCAATCGAAACCACGCCAGTTGACTCAATGACAGACCTTATGATACAACTCTAACCATTCGGCCATCCAACCCCCCATGACATGAATGGGGTGCTCTGTGAACTGACTGTGTTATACTTATGTGTTATTTTTGTGTTATTTTTGTAAATCTGAAATCGATTAAAATGATAAATCTTTTCTCTGTTTTTTTTAGGAATACGTAGAATATGCATTTTTAGTTATTTTTACCTTTGAGGCATTTCTAAAGATAATAGCCTATGGTTTTGTGATGCATTCTGGAGCGTACCTGAGGAATGGATGGAATATATTAGATTTTATTATAGTTGTTATAGGGTAAGTGGGATTTTTCAATTCCAAAAAGAAAAATCGGGAGAAGGGGGTTCAACCGTCCACTCGACTAGGTATTTTTGGGACGAACGCTTGCGTGTAGGGATGTTTGGCAGTCGGAGGAAACCAGAGGGCCGAGAGAAACCCCACCAGGTTGGAAAAGCCGACCCTACTCCTCGTCACGTACAAGCGTGGAATCGAAGGCCAATTTACTCAATAACGCACGTGTTACACCATTTGGCCATTCGACCCCCCCCCCCCTTTCCAATTAAAGTTAGTGGAAATCACATGTCATTAATATTGAAGCTGCAATATGTAAGAACTAAATCTGCCAATTTACTCAATAACGCACGTGTTACACCATTTGGCCATTCGACCCCCCCCCCCTTTCCAATTAAAGTTAGTGGAAATCACATGTCATTAATATTGAAGCTGCAATATGTAAGAACTAAATCTGCCTATTGTACGTCTTTCTTTCCGCTTCAAATCTATATATATATATATATTTGTGACTGTCCTTTGTCTGTCTGTCTGTCTGTCTGTTCGGGGTTGGCGGCTACACTAGGTCTGCCCCGAGTCTGAAATTTGGGGTATAGGGGTAGCTCGGACCGGGGAGTAACATAGGCCAGGTGGCGTTAGTCAACCACTTCCGGTTTCGGAGTTATGACCCCCGAGCCAAGCCGGGTATCCTGCTAGTACCAGATATTTCACAAGGTAAGGCTGGTTTATTGAAAGGAGTTATGCCAGATATTACACAAGCTGGTAAGGCAGCTTTTCAGTAGACTCCAGTGAATACTCAATTGCGATCACCTGGTTTTTCGCATTTTCTTAGTGTGTGCCGTTCAAAATTCACCGGCACACTTAGGAAGATCTCGCGACATACCTGTGTGATGTGGCACACTGTTTGAGAATCACTGCTCTAACCCTTCCTTAATAAAGAGTTTATTTTAGTTGTTTTCTTTTATTTCAGTTTAGTGAGTATAATTCTAACTGCTGTGCATAGCAAGGGTTTTGATGTAAAAGCTCTCAGAGCGTTTAGGGTGTTAAGACCGTTACGATTAGTTTCAAGAGCTCCAAGTAAGTAGAATTCATTGCTTTACGGACCAGGGCCCTGTTTCACGAAATTTTAACTAAAGATAAAATCCAAATTTTAGTAGATACTTCAATTTTGATTGGCTAAGCACTAAAATCAATCGAATATTATCCAATCAAATTACTAAAATTTGGATTCTATCTTAGTTAAAATTTCGTGAAATAGGCCCCAGGAAGATGGTACCAGGTGCATTGATCATCTTGGTGTGTTAGTTGTTATACCTGGGCCGACACTCTTCCAAAAGACGGGGGTTCAATGAGTAAGAAATGAAATGAAATGGAGTTTAACGTCCTACTGTTCTGCTCCGAACTGGGCTAATGAAGACGGGCATACGCAATACAGTGTGTTATGAGGGAAATTTTGCCCGGACAGCGGTGCTACGGCCTACTTTATATCAAATTCCAACAGTCAAGTGATCTTTTACGTGCACGCCAATGTGTACACGGGACCTCGCTTTTTCATTTCATTTCATTTTTAATTTCACATGCACGCCAACGTGTAGTCGGATGGGCCTTGGTTTTTCGTCCCATCCCAACGACTAGTCAACAGTGACAAGTTGGTACCGATCTTGAGATTCTTCTCGGCCTTACATATGACTGCTCCTATTCACAATTAACAAATCTTACTTTGTTTCGCATAGATATATTATTATCGACAGAAATTCCAGAAATATAATTTAATTTAAAATTTTGTCTGTTTTTCTTTCAGGTTTACAAGTTGTGTTGAACTCGATTCTTCGAGCAATGGTGCCTTTGTTAAACATAGCTCTATTAGTCATTTTTGTCATTATCATATACGCTATCATAGGATTGGAATTATTCTCAGGAAAATTGCACAAAACCTGTTTTGACAAAACATCAGGTAAGTACAAATATGATAAGTATGGAGTTACAACATTCTAGCTATTATAGAAATCAAGATTTACAGCCAGTCAGTACCCCCACCCCCCTCCAGGCAATGGAGGCCCCCAATTAGACATATTCGTAACTCATTCGTAACTAGTGTATTCGTAACTGAATTTGGCATATTCGTAAGCAATGAGGCAGATTTGTAACTCATTCGTAACTGACTCGCTCCAATTCGCAGATCATTCTTTCATTTCGTACCTTTATCGTAACCCCATACCTTGACATTCGACATATTGTTCACCCGATTACCCACGAATTACTGTACCGCTTTCGTAAATTATTCGTAACTACTTCGTAGCTACTCCCGATTCTCTGCGATATTTTCTATTTTTTTTGCCGAATCGCCACGAATTTCGATTCACCACTGTTCGGGGTCGATTCGTGGTGTTCGTAGCCCACGTGAAAGTGAGACGTAAGAGACTTTTGACAAGCGTAAATTTCAGGTCCGTATCGCGTATCCGTATGGATTTTGCGTGTGACGTCATCAATGGGTGTGTATTTCTCATACGTGATACTGCACACGGATACGGCAGCACGTATGGAACGGCTTTCATACAGAAAAGGTCCGTATAACATTGTCGTGTCTTTTACCGTCTTTTTTATGAATTTATGAATGTTTGTGTATTCTAGAACACGAAGGTGTATATTTGATGTGATTTTAACCATGATGGTTGATCTACGTGCTAAATTTAGGGAGGCGGAACCTTGCAAATCTGTAATTTACTGTAAATGATTTTATTGTGTGGTAAATGGGTATAAACTTTCTGAAATGATACATTAGTGAAACCAAAAATTGCAGTCGCGTCGAAGTCGAAGATTTTTAATAAGATTCGACATTAATTTTTTTAATAGCTCAGCGACTGTCGAGCTACTTTGTTCTCTCTGAGGAATTATCGGCTGTAATGGGCACTTGACTAGTACTGATGGTGATCTTGGTAGATATCTGCCATTATGCTGTAATAGAACTAAGCTTAGCTGATCGACGCACACGTACGCGACGCGAAAATCTGCCAAAACTCTAAAACTACATTGACGCAACGGATCAAGTATACGATACGGATACGTGATACGGATGGTAAAATTCCGCTTGCCAAAAGTCTTATCGCGAATCCAAACTAACCGTCCGTACATGCATTGGTTAAGAACAATGTTGGTGTCAGCCATTATCACATATGTGATTATAGAACTGGTTAAACACATTTCAAATAATTATAACACAGAGATCCTTGCTACGATAGATGTGTAACGAAGATTTGAAGAAACGGGAAGTGACACAAAATATATAAAACACAGCTATTCTGCGGGCCCGAGGAGGACAGTTGTCTAGTCGTTCGGATGAGACGAAAAACCGAGGTCCCGTTTAAAAATTGGCGTGCACGTAAAAGATCCCTTGACAGTTGTAATTCGATATAACAGTAAGCCGTAGTGCCGCTGTCCGGGCAAAATTTTCCTCATGGAATACTTCATTAGCCCAGTTGGGATCAGAACAGTAGGACGTCAAACCCCATTTCATTTCATTGCATTTCATTTTCGTGCAGATATGTCCTTACTGCGCTGCTGCGACCGTACGGCGGACAGAAAATGCACAAGGCCGCCGGCAAACGGGAACACAGCGCAAGAAAATGTCCGTATAAAATTACAACAAAGTCGCGTTCTTACGGCGATCTGTGCGATTATACCGCGTTCTCACGGTTCGCTCGTCACGACCTCTCGACGGTTATGGCGTTTCTATTGAGATCTATTGGCTTGGCAACGGCGATCATTGGCGAACCCGAGGCGCTCTGTCCACGCTCATGGGGTTCTTACCACATGTCTTCTGCGTGTATCGCGGCTGCACGAACGTTTTTACCACGTAATCACGGCGACTATATAAGCTGGTCAGATTTTTGAAAATTTCAAGATGACGACATGCACACAGATGTATGAATTTTATCACCTGTTTTTATAGCAAGTCGTACATGTAAAGCATGGTCTCCATAGGAGCGTAATGCAAGCTTGGTAACCGCGCCATGGTCGTATTAAACGCAATCGCATAACAGTGATTAAATCATCGTAACATCGCCATGTCAACGCCCTAAGGACTCCGAACGCTTAGTGGGGTTGTGGCAGACACGCAAGTGTCGTAGTGAAGATGCTATGAAGTCGCCGTTGCAAACGTTACAATTTTCGAAGCGTCTTTGCCACGTGTGTACGCGTGTGTACGGCACGTGTACTACGTTCATGGAGATGTTACGAGGCTTGTCTCGCGACCTTTGCGACCCCACCACATTCTCACATCGCCGTGACTTGCCGATCATTTGCGACCACGGAGACCACAGCACGATATCTGGCGTTTCCACCACGCTTTTACCACGCTTATGCCGATCTTGACGCGCTCTGAGATCATTTTCTATCGCCGTAGACGGTCTGACGGGGATATTATACTGGGGTGGCGTCTGACGGCGACGAAAAATGGTCGCAGAGCGCGTCAAGATCGCAAATGATCGCCGAGACACGGCGTTTGTTTTGAGCATGTTCAAAACAAACGCCAAGGTTCTGCGATCTGATCTGGAAAGCTGTAAGAACGCGACTTTTTTCAAGTTTGTAAATTTTTTTTGAGACATTTTCTCGGGTTGTGTTTACGTTTGCGGGCGACCTTGTGTATTTTCAGGTCGCCGTACGGTCGAAGCAGTGCAGTAAGGAAGCCACCCCGGTCTGACGGGGGTATTAGGTATGAGTACACCGATATCATTCACCGTGTACTTTCCAGTAAATCTCTGTTTTATTAATTTATATTCTAACGTTTATTTTCTGACATAATGAAAACATTATGAGATATACAAATTGATGCATTTTCTGCCATAATCAAAACGGTATGAGGTATTGCGTAATTAAACAGACATTATGCAAGAGCTAAATCTGCTTATTGCAGGTCTATCTTTAGGCCTGAAATGTTAATTAGACATTAATTAATTTATCCAGACCATAATCAACTCTCGATGATCGGTAGCCTGCGATATTTACTGGATTAGGATCTGATCTGCTGCTCTACTTTCATTTATGATTTAATCATGAAATGGATAATCGACTTTAGTAATGATTAAGGCTAGTCCGAAAATTCAATCCTAAATCCTGGTTTAGAGTGGATCAATTTGGCTGAAATTTTCAGCAAATTCCCTTTACATTATCTAGTTTTTAACTATTATAATCTCTCATAATGTATGTTTAATATAAGACTGTTACTTAGATTTACTGATAAAGTCTAGCTCGCGAGTACGTGTGCCTATGGGCAATCTACAGCGAAAATTTTAGTAAACCCAGGAATTTTAAGTGAGCAGAAATTCGCCCATGTATCTGTTATCACCCGTCACTTCAGCCAGTTATATAGAGGGATAACTCATGTTTTCCTTTCGCGTTCGCCACTTCCTATTGTTGAAACATTGATTACTCATCTATCGTAGCAATTATCTCTGTGATAAAATAATATTTGAAACCTGTTTAACCAGTTCTATCACATATGTGATAATGATTGGCACCAATATTGTCCTTTAAGCCACATTGATGTCATCCTGATCAGTGATTGTAGAGGCCTAGCGAATATTCACTGCTGATCAGTGTGTGCTCGGCACTGTAGAAGATTGCAGACGGCCCACAGAGACTTTTGGTCCTGCACATACAAAATGGCCGAATGGTAAACGCTGTATAATAAGGTCTGTCATTGAGTCAACTAGCGTGGTTTCGATTCCCCGGTTGTACCTGACAAGGAGTAGGGTCGCCTGTTCAACCACGTGACTTTTCCCCGGGTCCTCCGGTTTCCTCCCACTGCTAGAGACCACTACGCGCGTTGAAATATAGTTGAATCATATGTTAGTCCTGAAATGACCTAGTTTGTGTCGAGTGGACGTTAAACTCCATTTCTCTCTCTCTCTCTCTCTCTCTCTCTCTCTCTCTTTAGAGTTTATGATTATTATTACATTAAAAAAAATTAGCATGACGCATTAAAGATGGATTATTTAAGAGCTAAATCTGCCTATTGTAGGTCTTTATTTGGGCTTCAGATGTTATATATTGGTTATATTATAGGCATTTAGCATTTGATTTAATACTAGTAGAACACTTATTATGGACACAATCACTTGGTTTATTATACTGCAACGTTTTCAACTAGATTTCACAAGTCGTTTTCAAGCAAATACAAGGGGAAATCACGCCGGAAAATCTGGATGAACTTTCTCGGCCAATGCAGGGATCGAACACCCGACCTCCAGGCTAGCGAGCCAGTGTCTTACCCACTTTATAGCCACGTGATCCCCCTGCAGTATAATAAACCAAGTCGTTTTCAAGCAAATACCTAATGTACTCAATGTACAATATGTATTTGCTTGAAAATGACTTGTGAAATGTTGTTGAAACGTTGCGGTATATATCAGGCCCGGCGGAGTGGGGGGGCTAGGGGGGGCTTTAGCCCCCATAATTTGGCCGCAAGTACTCTTTTCTCCAGGTTATTGCGGCCCCTGGACCCTTGCCTATAAGGACCTAGGATGGAAGCCCCCTCAATCAAGAATTGCTTCCGCCGGCCCTGTATATAGTATATATAGTCTAGTATTATATAGTATAGATGTGTAATTTCTATTTAGAAGATGATATATGAGTCTGTTCAACATACAAGAGTTTGTTAAGGTGTATAGTTGTACTTTATCTTACTAGACAGTAACAGCTGGAGTTTAGAATTAACGTACCTGGCATATCCACTACTGCATGTCTCAACTTACATCAGGCACTCAGCCAGTATACCGGTTATGTCTATTTATAAACCTACCACAGTTGAATTCATGAAAATTTCTCTTAGACTCAAAATGATCTATATAGTGTAGCTTATAATTAATTCCGTTCAAATCCTACACATCTATCGAAGTGAGAGAAAGGGAAATGGGGTTTAGCATCCACTTGACACAGACTAGGTCATTTCAGAACTAACATATGGTTCAATTTTATTTCAATGAGTCGCTTGCGCGTAGGGGTCTTTAGCAGTGGGAGGAAACCGGATGGCCTGGAGAAAACCCACAATGTTTGACAGGCGACCCTACTCCTTGTCACGTACAACGGGACAATCGAAACCACGCCGGTTGACTCAATGACAGACCTTATGATACAGTGCACTCCATACAGAGCACGCCAAGAACTCACCGTAACAGATCGTTTCATTGGCTAACTCTTCCAGAACCTAGTGTTGTGAAGACAAGTAAAACAAAATTTTGAACTATAAAACACGAAACGAAAAAGGATCTGTGTTTATATTTATATCAATGATATACTCATATCATACCATATATTTATATGAATCCATGTACTTATATCAATCCATATATTCATACTCATAATATTAAACCATATACTTGTATTCAACACATATAATTATACACATATTAAACCATATACTTGTATCAACACATATAATTATATTAATATTAAGCCATATAATTATATCCATATCAAGCCATATAATTATATTAATATCAAAACATATAATTATACTCCTATCAAAACATATAATTATACTCTAACAAACCATATAGTTATACTCCTATTAAAACATATAATTATACTCATATCATTATACTCATATAAAACCATATAATTATACTAATATCAAACCATATAATTATTACCATATCAAACCATATAATTATACCCATATCAAACCATATAATTATTACCATATCAAACCATATAATTATTACCATATCAAACCATATAATTATACTCATATCAATCCATACACTTATATCAATCCATAACTTAAACCTACCATTCCCTGTATATCCGGTATTTATTTCAATCAATAACCCATATATTTCCAAACATAATGGAAAACAGGTACCGCCCATGGTCTGGGTTATCATGTCCGCTAATTCAATATTTTATTTCACACGGCTGTACCAATATAGATTCCATCGCTACGCCCCTGTTCGGTTCAACTTGGCAAAATATACAAACTTATCTCATAATCACGTTAATACAGGTCATCCAATCCAATATCGAAAGCAAGCCAACCAAAACTTATGTAAGGCATGCCAACTTTTGCTACGGTTATTTGGTTATTTTTAAATGGTAAGACTGGAGATATGGTAAACATTGTCAGGCACAAATCTAGGCGTTGTCCGGTACAGTGTGGGTCACTTTCTCCAGCACTGATTTGTCTTGTTTGGGGTGTTTTTATTCATATTATTTAAAGAGAGAGAGAGAAATAGGGTTTAACGTCCACTCGATACAAACTAGGACATTTCGGGACTAATATGTGGTTCAATTTTATTTCAATAGTACGCTTGCGCGTAGGGGGAGAGAGAGAGAAATGGGGTTTAACATCCACTCGATACAAACTAGGACATTTCGGGACTAATATGTGGTTCAATTTTATTTCAATAGTACGCTTGCGCGTAGGGGGAGAGAGAGAGAAATGGGGTTTAACGTCCACTCGATACAAACTAGGATTAGGTCATTTCGGGACTAACGTGTGGTTCAATTTTATTTCAATAATTCGCTTGGCTAGGGATCTAGATCATTTCTTCAGATTTTAGTTTTGAGTTGTATATTTTGTAAGAACTTGTTGATATTTATTATTTGATGTTTTCAGGATCTATGGCATTTGAAGATCCACATCCGTGTGGAAGAGGGTTTAAGTGTGCGGAATATGTACCAGACTCAGTGTGCCGGGAATTCTGGGAAGGGCCAAATTTTGGCATTACAAACTTTGATAATTTTGGCCTAGCTATGTTGACAGTGTTTCAATGTATCACAATGGAAGGATGGACTGATGTCTTATATGATGTAAGTATGTCTACATCTCTACATGTGTGCTAAGAGTGAGTGTGTCTACGCCTCTACATGTGCGCTAAGAGTAAGTGTGTCTACACCTCTACATGTGTGCTAAGAGTAAGTATGTCTACACCTCTACATGTGTTCTAAGAGTATGTCTACACCTCTACATGTGTGCTAAGAGTAAGTATGTGTACACCTCTACATGTGTGCTAGGAGTAAGTATGTGTACACCTATACATGTGTGCTAAGAGTGAGTGTGTCTACACCTCTACATGTGTGCTAAGAGTAAGTGTGTCTACACCTCTACATGTGTACTAAGAGTAAGTATGTTTACACCATTCAACGAGGCAAGACGCTAACTCAATATCATCCACAGTCTTTGACATTGCAAACACGACTTATATTGGTCAATTTAAATCAACATTGATGTTGTTATCTTACCCTGAAAAGATGGGCATATAATATCCAACATTTAAATCAAAATGCACATTTTTAAATTGGCGTGCCAGAATGCTTTCGAGCGGTAAAATACTACCTATGTAGACTGTAATAACCAGACACCAAAGACTGACATTCAATTTGGACTCTTCACGTGGGCTATTACGCAAAACCTAACTGATTAGAAATTACAGTAAAACAGAAATGATAGAATGTAAATCAGTTTATATACATTCATATTAAATGCGTTGAACCCATTAGTGTCCATTTCTAGGTGTCATAGAATTGCGATTTACCTACTGTAAAACAGTAGTGATCACATCGAATGATGATTTTACTATTAAAATATTTTATTGGAATTATATTCAAATATTTGATTCATTTAAGTGATCAATTGTTTAAAATCGTTTTGAATCATTTTTATGTATTTTCTGATTTCAAGAAACTATGAAGTTATTGGATTGATATTGGAATATTGTTCGATTCATTTTGAATGATTAATTGTTTTAAAACAAAATTGATCATTGTTTTGCATTTTCTGATTCCAAGAAACTACGAAACTTTAAAATAGAGAGAGAGAGAGAGAGAGAGAGAGAAATGGGGTTTAACGTCCACTCGACACAAACTAGGTCATTTTGGGACTAACATATGGTTTAATTTTATTTCAATAATTTTCTTGCGCGTAGGGGTCTTTAGCAGTGGGAGGAAACCGGAGGACCCAGAGAAAACCCATGAGATTGGACAGGCGAACCTACTCCTCCTAGTCACGTACAACCGGGGATTCTTTAAAATAGTACATGTTTCCTTTATTTGTTAATATATGTTAGCAGAACAATTGATTCCACTGATCCCGTCTTCATTAGCCCAGTTTAGGAGCAGAACAGTAGGACGTTAAACCCCATTTCATTTCATTTCGATTCCACTGACCTAATATTATAAAATACTTCCGACAGGAGAAATAACCCATTCAAATGCCAATTTAATTGACAGCTCACTGCCGGATTTCGCAATAAGTTTGGTAGGTTAAAGCCCAGGGACTCAAGGTGTATAATATTTTTGACACTGTCATAAGCTTTGCTTACACCCAATCTGATTACAACACAGATCCTATTTCGTTTCGTTTTTTTATAGTTCAAAATTTCATTTTAATTGTCTGTACTACGCTAATATCTGGAAGAGTTGTTATACAACCTGCGTTCTGGATGGCGTGAGAGATTAGCCAATGAAACCGTCTGTTACAGCGACTTCTTGGTGTTCGATGCACGTAACTGTGCGTAAACCAACAGAAACGACAAGCTGACTCGTTAATCAATATCTGACATCATAAGGTCAAAAAGCAGCTTGTACAACACCTGACGCGACCTCCTACAAAAAACTGTTCAGATATTCATGTGGTGTAGGTCACTGAAGGTATAAAGAAAACGAAACGAAATATAGATCTGTATTTTAATTAAATTGCGTTTCTTCGACTTGGCAACACTTCCATTCTCAGCACCATGTCAGCTACACTTAACTTGTGTGAAGCTGACTTGAATAATTCAAACCCGGGATATTCCCCTTAATAACCGCGGATCCGAATACTCGTTTTGTATTGTTTTGATCCCTGGGGCCTTATTCACGAAATTTTAACTAAGATAAAATCAAAATTTTAGTTATTTGATTGGATAATATTAGATTGATTTTAGTGCTTAGCCAATCAAAACTGAAGTATCTACTAAAATTTGGATTTTATCTTTAGTTAAGATTTCGTGAATCAGGGCCCTGGTTCGCCAATCAGAAGATCCCGGATTTTATCCGAATGGTTGGGTGTGTTCCAGGGTTCGATCCAGAGAATACCTCGATATTTTGCAGTGTGGTTTCTCGCCGTGTCTCGTCATTCGGATGAGACGACAAACTGAGGCACTGTGTAAACGTTGACAGACACATTAATAAACCCTTGTAATTAGACCGATATCCAAATCCCAGATAAAAGTAGGCTGTATTGCCGATGTCCAGGGAAAAATTTCACTCATAGGACACGGGGGGGTTGGATGGCCGAATGGTTAGCACGCTCGCTCTGTATCATACGGTCTGTCATTGAGTCAACTGGCGTGGTTTTGAATCCCTGGTTGTACGTGACAAGGAGTAAGGTCGCCTGTCCAACCTCGTGGGTTTTCTCCGGGTCCTCCGGTTTCCTCCCACTGCTAAAGACCCCTACGCGCAAGCGAATATTGAAATAAAATTGAACCATGTGTTAGTCCCGAAATGACCTAGTTTGTGTCGAGTGAACGTTAAAACCCATCTCTCTCTCTCCCTCTCTCTCTTTCTCTGTCTGTCTGTCTCTCTCTCTCTCTCTCATAGGACACTACATGGCGTATGCCCGTCTGCATAACTTCAACTGGTACACAACATAAGGATGTTGTTAAACGCCATTTTGTTTTATTTTCAGGTAAATGATGCAGTTGGTAATGAATGGCCATGGATTTATTTTATCAGTCTTATTATTATTGGTTCTTTTTTTGTACTTAATCTTGTTCTTGGTGTGTTGAGTGGGTACGTACAATTGTTATTTGCCTAGCAAACTCTATAATGTGCATTTCCGTGCAAATCATCGATCGTACTAGTTAAGCTCTGAACGTAGGTCTCATTACACTCTCAATTAATATGCACATTTCTGTCTAAGCTGTGTATCTCTATGCCAATAAGAACTATTCTGGGTATCATGTGTCCAAATGTTGTATCTTGTTTTGTGGAAATTTTGAAATGCAAAAGGTTCTATTTCGTAATCTTTAGAAATTCTTAGATACACACTTTTGACACTTCACCGACGATATACAGTAGTCATTAACATTGATATGACCCAAATTTGCAAATATTTACCCCCCCCCCGCTTCATTAGCCCAGTCGGTGCAGAAAAGTAGGACGTTGAACCCGATTTCAGTTTCATGTTCAATCCATTCGTATTGTTGTCACTGTGTTTTATAGAGAATTCTCCAAAGAAAGGGAAAAAGCAAAAGCTAGAGGAGACTTCCAAAAATTACGGGAAAAACAACAGTTAGAGGAGGATTTGCGTGGTTATTATGATTGGATCACACAAGCTGGTAAGACTTATTTATTTAAATGGGTTATGCCAGATATTACACGGGTTGGTAAGGCTGGTTTATTTAAAGGGGTTATACCAGATATTACACAAGCTGGTAAGACTAGTTTATTTTAAAGGGGTTATACCAGATATTTCACAAGCTGGTAAGGCTGGTTTATTGAAAGGAGTTATGCCAGATATTACACAAGCTGGTAAGGCAGGTTTATTTAAAGGGGTTATACCAGATATTACACAAGCTGGTAAGATTAATTAATTTAAAGAAGGATTTGGCGGCTAATCAATGTAACTTCTGCTAGAGTCGTACGGGCATACAATCAAGAAGCTAGCCACGTGCACGATAAAACTCTGCACGCAACTGTAACTAAAGAGATATACATATAATTATTTTAAGCAAGTTTATTTTAATCAAATTATATTCTAGACGATATTGATCCTGAATGTGATGAAGAAGGTGAAGAAGTAGCCACACCCAGGCATAGTATGTTAATTTTTCTTAACTCATTTAATGAAATGGGGTTTAACGTCCTACTGTTCTGCTCCAATACTGGGCTAATGAAGACGGGCATACGCCATAACTTATCATTCAGTCATTTTACATGCCATGCAATTAGAATTTCTAAGAGAGAGAGAGAGAGGGTTTAACATCCACTAGACACGAACCAGGTTATTTCGGGACTAACATATGGTTCAATTTTATTTCAATAATTCGCTTGCGCGTAGGGGTTTTTAGCAGTGGGAGGAGACCGAAGGACCCGGAGAAAACTCATGAGGGTGGACAGATGCCCCTACTCCTTGTCACGTACAACCGGGGAATCAAAACCACGCCAGTTGACTCAATGACAGACCTTAGGATACAACGCCCACGCGCTAACCATTGGGCCATCCAACCCCCTTTGAACTTGAAACCGGAACGGGAATTAAATATGAAAAACCCTAACTAAAAATGTCAGGTAAAATTTTGGAACAGCGTTCCTGGTTCCGACAGTAATTAAATATTGGTTTTTACAGGTAAAGCTATGGAAGCCGAACTATCAGATCCGTCAGCAGAGGTAGATAGCACGGACTCTACTCCATCTTGGTTCCAACAAAAAAAGTAAGGAAAACTCGAGATATTTTAAAGTTACAATTTCAAATTTTTAAGTTATATTTTTAAAATGTATTAAAATAAAGCCCTTAATTAGATGGTATCTATAAACAGTCCTACCTTGTTAAAGAATAATCCTATTAATCCTATAATTCACTACTACCAGTTGAGAAATTGCCAAAAGTATCAATTTCAACTTCAAATTCAAACGTTTGAAGATAGCTATTCCATGGTGGGGAATAGAAAAACAAGGGAGGTAATTGTGTTATTATTTCCGGTGTGAAGAATTTTAAGTGTGAGAAAGATAACCTATGATCGTATAATAGTGAGATGACAACCTATTGAGCAAAAGACATAGAAATAATTATGTTTTGACTTTCTTAGAAAATATGAAATTGTAACTTTAACAAAAAAGTTTGTTTGCTTCCTATTTAAATATAAAAATTAAAAATACTTGGTAATTCTTTTCAAAAGCTTTTAGTTTCCAATTTTAAGTTTTCAATTTTATTAACAACGAAATATCTAATCGGTTGGACCTTGAGAAAATATAAATCCCAAATTTTCTTTATTTCTGTGAACTTCAAGGTCACCGGAAAAGCTTCATAAGTATTTTAATTTTAAATAATGTAAGGACTTATGTCTATAGATCCTTTCCATAAGTATAACATGATCCCGAATGTCAATGTTACCTGCCACAGGTAAATTTCAACAGGTATATTTCTGCCGTTCTCCGTGAGTAGTCGTAACTTTCCGCCAATAAACAAGCCGTGACGTCATTTGAGTTCTTGTCAATTGGCGGAAAGTAACGACTACTCACGGAGAACGGCGGAAATATACCTGTTGAAATTTTACCTGTGGCAGGTAACATTGACATTCGGGATCATGTTATACTTATGGAAATGATATATAGACATAATCATAATGTTATGTTTCAGGTTTATATTAGAGAAATGGAACCGAAGATGTAGACGATTTAGCCGTAAAATAGTGAAATCACAAGCTTTTTATTGGGCAGTTATTGTATTAGTATTTTTAAATACTTGTGTGTTAACATCAGAACATTATAGACAGCCTGAATGGCTCGATAGTTTTCAAAGTGAGTTTTCCTGTTCATAGTGTGTTTGAATTCCTTTCTTTATTTGATTAATTTGCTGTACAGATTTAGTAAAGTTCTTATTATTCTACATAATAAGAGGTTATTATTCTACATAATAAGAGGTTATTATTCTACATAATAAGAGGTTATTATTCTACATAAAATGAGGTTATTTTTCTACGTAAAAAGAGGTTATTTTTCTACATAATAAAAGATTATTACTCTACATAAATAGAGGTTATTATTCGGCATAATAAAAGGTTATTATTCGACATAATAAAAGGTTATTTTTCTATATAATAAGGGGTTATTACTCTACATAAATAGAGGTTATTATTCTACATAATAAGAGTTTATTATTCTACAAAATAAGGGGTTATTATTCTACATAATAAGAGCTAATTATTCTACAAAATAAGGGGTTAATATTCTACATAATCAGAAGTTATTATTCTACATAATAAGAAGTTATTTTTCTAGATTATTATTATTCTACATAATAAGAGATAATTATTCTACATAATAAGATTATTATTCTACATAATAAGAGCTTATTATTCTACATAATAAGAGCTTATTATTCTACATAATAAGAACTTATTATTCTACATACTAACCCGGTACATAATAAGAGGTTATTTTTCTGCATAATAAGAAGTTATTTTTCTACATAATAAGAGATTATTATTATTCTATATAATAAACCGGTACATAATAAGAGGTTATTTATTTTACATAATAAGAGGTTATTACTCTACATAATTAGAGGTTATTATTTTACATAATTAGAGGTTGTTATTCTTCATAATAAGAGGTTGTTATTCTACATAATTAGGGGTTATTATTCTACAGAATAAGAGGTTATTATTCTACATAATTAGAGGTTATTATTCTACAGAATAAGGGGTTATAATTCGACATAATAAGAGGTTATCATTCGACATAATAAGAGGCTGTTATTCAACATAATAAGAGGTTATTATCCCATATAAGCTGGTAAATGAAAAGAAACAAGGTTTAGCGCCCTACTTTTCTGGGGAAAGAAAGACTGAAAAGAAAACAACCCGAGAAAAAGAAAAACCGAGGCCGACAGGCCAAGCTTTTTTTGTCGAGGGTTTTTTCTGAAGTCTTTCTTTCCCAGCATAACCAAAGCCGAGGACTTTATCTTGCTTATAAACGTTTATGTACAAAAAATGAGAATATCCCAGAATTCCTGAAAGAAAAACCTTATATCATGTTTTCTTATGTAAAAAAAAAACATACTCGTTACAGGTTTAAAGAAAAACTTTCAGAAGAATAACCACAAATTCCCCTATAAATAACCAAAGACTTGCAGACCGCAAGTTATTCCGGGCATAGAATATACCCAAAAGATCAAAGAGATTTACCGTTACAGGTTTATAATTCTACACAATAACCCGGTACATGGTTATCATTCTACATAATAACCCGGTACAAGGTTATCATTCTACATAATAACCTGGCACGTGGTTATCATTCTACATAATAACCTGGTACATGGTTATCATTCTACATAATAACCCGGTACAAGGTTATCATCCTATTGTTCTTGATCTCTAAGGTTATTAAACTCCAATTTGGTGTGCAGGGTCTTTATTCTTCACAGTAACCCAATTTGGTGTGCAGGGTCTTTATTCTTGACAATAACCCAATATGTGTTTATTATTGTATTTGAAAAAAAAATTAGATATAAAAACTAACATAATGTTTAGGATTAAATTTAATGATTTTTTTTTTCTTTTCGTATTTCAGGTCTCGCCAATCTGTTTTTTGTTGTGTTATTTACATTTGAAATGCTGTTAAAAATGTACAGTTTAGGCTTCCAGGGTTATTTTGTGTCTTTGTTTAACCGTTTTGACAGTTTTGTTGTGTTATGTAGTATATTAGAGGTGGTTCTAATCTATACAGAAGTTATGCCACCATTAGGTGTCAGTGTGTTGCGATGTGCCAGATTATTACGTGTCTTTAAAGCAACCAGGTAATTAATTTAATCCTCTCGTCAATTGTATAACGTCCTACATTTCTACAACAACAGGGCCAATGAAGGTGGCCATTTCTACACCAACAGGGCCAATGAAGACGCCCATTTCTGCTGGACCTACAGGGCCAATGAAGACGGCCATTTCTGGACCTACAGGGCCAATGAAAGGGGCCATTTCTACACCAACAGGGCCAATGAAAGCGGCCATTTCTACACGAACAGGGCTAATGAAGGCGACCATTTCTGGACCTACAGGGCCAATGAAGACGCCCGATCACAACTCTGTGTGCTATGAAACAACACTTGCCCAGGCAGCAGTGGAATTCCAACTGTCAATGTATCATTTACGTGCCCGCCAATAGGGAAATTCGTGGTCCTCGTCAATCATTAAACCTATTGATAACATATCTTGGACGTTATTCATTAAAACTTCAATTATTTGAAGAATGCAGCCTTTTGATTGGCTAAGAGCAAAAAATTTTTACTAGAATTTTAACCATCAACCAATAGAATGGCCACATTCAAAAAATATTTTTGCTTAATATTTCTCTTAAATAAGGTCCCATGTCCATTCTCAATTATGTTAAAATGTTTGTGACAGACGGCTTACGTCCGGACGTGAACTTGAGCAGTATGGCTGCATGACCAACCTCAAGGCTTTTTTCTGGGTACTTCGATTTTCTCTGGGGAGTTGAATGTCCGAATGGTTAGCACGTGTGTGCTGCGCTTTATCATAATGCCTGTCATTGAGTCAACTGGTGCGGTTTCGAATCCCTGGTTGTACGTGACAAGGAGTAGGGTCGCCTGTCCAACCTCGTGGGTTTTCTCTGGGTCCTCCGGTTTCCTCCCACTGCTAAAGACCCCCTACGTGCAAGCGAATTATTGAAATAAAATTAAACTATATGTTAGTCCCGAAATGACCTAGTTTGTGTTGAGTGGACGTTAAACCCTCTCTCTCTCTCGATCTTCTCCCTTTTCTGAAATCCCCTGCGCACATGCAAATGTTTGAGATAAAAATGAACCATATGTTAACTACAATATGTAATATTTATTGTTTATTTCAGATACTGGTCTTCTCTAAGAAATCTTGTAGCCTCTTTGTTAAACAGTATGCGTTCTATTGCCAGTTTATTGTTACTACTCTTCCTCTTTATTGTGATATTTGCCTTATTGGGGATGCAGCTGTTTGGTGGACGATTTAACTTTGACGATACCCAGATGAAACCACGCAGTAATTTTGATACTTTCTTCCAGTCTCTACTCACCGTCTTTCAGGTAAGAAATGGAATGAAAGGAAATGGGGTTTAACGTCCAACTGTTCTGTGCCGATTGGGCTAATGAAGACGGCATACGTCATACAGTGTGCTATGAGAGTAATTTTGCCCGGACAGCGGCACTACGGTCTACTTTTTTTTTATCGAATTCCAACTACCAAGGGATCTTTTACGTGCACACCAATGTGTACACCTGACCTCAGTTTTTTCGTCCCAACCGAACGACTAGACAGCTGTCTTTATCCTTGCCAAGACCTTCGTCCTGGCTAAGTGGGCAAGACGCTGCTTTGGCCGTCTTAATTAACCCAGTTCGGAGCAGAACAGTAGGACGTTAAACCCCATTTCATTTCATTTCATTTCATTTGAATGCCGTCTCCATACAGACTACGTACTTCAGTAACGTTGTACCATGATGGTCAATATAGTAATAGTAAAATGGAACCAAAAGTAGAAATGCCCTTCGTACGAACGCTAAATATTTGCTTCACGTTGTGTTTCAAAATGGACTTCAAATTCGACATCTTCATGGACTCAATATCACTTCACTATGTTAAACAACTCAGGAACACACAGTTCTTCTAAATACGTTTTTAACTATAGTAGAATACTTGTTTTTTAAAAAAAAAGGTATGAATCCTTTGCACTTGAAAACGATAAGAGAATACTTGTCGAAACGTCTTGCTTTATGTGTATAAACCAGTGATTGTTTTCCATATAAACTATGTTATGTTTTTAATGTGCCCAATCGCTAAATGCCACTCAAGGATTACATTATTTACCCAGTTTTCTTTAAACAAAGGAAAAATTTGCTATGAAAGCTCTATACACTCTTGGAAGAGTGCAATTTTGAAATTTGTTTTCTAAAAGTCACAAGTAAACTGGAAGCCGCATAGCAATTGTATAGGTATAGGTACATATCATTGAATCGTCGTACAGCTGAGGCTAGATGTAGGAGACCAGAGTTTGCCAAGGTTTGCCGAGTGGTACTACTAGTGAATTCATTATTTATTTGTAGATATTGACTGGTGAAGATTGGAATGTTGTTATGTATGATGGTATACGAGCATATGGTGGTGTTGCAGGAATTGGATGTGTTGTTTGTCTTTATTTTGTTGTTCTTTTTATTTGCGGTAACTGTATCCTTTTAAAAACCACTGAGCATTTAATCAAAACATTCAAAATTACAACACTCCACGGGCCTTTTATTGTCTTCTAGTTATGAGGGGGGATCACGTGGCTAAGTGGGTAAAACGCTGGCTCGCTATCCTGGAGGTCGGGTGTTCGATCCCTGCATTGGCCGAGAAAGTTCATCCCGATTTTCCGGCGTGGTTTCCCCTTGTCAGTGATGCAGGATGGAGGGCCTGACAAGGACAGCTGTCTAGTCGTTTGGATGGGATGAAAAACCGAGGTCCCGTGTACACATTGGCGTGCACATAAAAGATCTCTTTGCAGTTGGAATTCGATATAAGAGTAGGCCGTAGCGCCGCTGCCCGGGCAAAATTTCCCTCATAGCACACTGTATGGCGTATGCCCGTCTTCATTAGCCCAGGTTAGGAGCAGAACAGTAGGACGTTAAACCCCATTTCATTTCATTTCATTTCTAGCTGTGAGACTGGTATGTTTTAGTTTAGTGGAGTTTATATCTACGTAAAATAAACCATTGATCAGATCATTCAAAATACAAACGCTTCTCTCGTCTATTCTATTTGCCTTCCAGTTGTTGCAGGAATACAGAATATAAAATTTTGAATGCTTATACATAATACTGAGACGTGTTGTATGAAACAAAAATATCGAATTTGATAGCAAAATATTGGTTAACGCAATATTGGCTGAAACACCGCCAGTTGACTCAGTAACAGACCTTATGATACAGCACGCACATGCTAACCATTCGGCTATCCAACCCCCCAGTTTTCTTTGACCATAAAATCAGATATTCTGTTGAACGTCTTCTTGGCTATTGCTGTTGATAATTTAGCCGATGCCCAGAGTTTAACAGAAATAGAAGAAGAAAAGAACGAAGAGAAAGAACGCACGAAAAGTAAAAGTCCCGTTAAAGATTCGCAGGTATGAAATAGGGTTAAGCTTACTGCTTTTCTTCACCAACCAAGCTATAATTTAAACAAATGAATGGTTGAAAAATACCAACCAAGCTTTAATGTGAACAAATGAATGGTTCAAAAATATCAACCCAGCTATAATATAGATAAATGAATGGTTTAAAATATCAACCAAGCTATAATGTAAACAAATGAATGGTTCAGAAATACAAAATTGATAAAGCTAAAAAACGATTGCTTGATAAATTTAACAGATATATGATCTAAAGGAGGTTTCCACTATAAATTACCATGACAACAATATCTGTTACTAAGACTAGATTACCATGACAACAATATGGTGAATAGTACACAGATGAGTTGCACCAATTGCGCCGCGGTGCCTGGCAGCTCCAGGACAATGCTTCTGTTCAAACAACCCAAACAGCAGTGAGCGCTGCAGGGACTGTGGCTTCAGGATTCTCCCTTACCCAGCCTATTCTCCAGATAGAGCTCCCTCTCACTTCTTCCGCTTCCCACAAATCAAATCTGTCCTCTAGGGCTGCATATTTTGGACTGGTGTTAAATGTAATCATTGCTGTGGGGGATTTTAGAGGCATGTGACAACCAGTGGTTTTCCGGCAGATTAAATACGTTGGATGATCAGTCGAACAATTGCATTGATGTCAGCGGAGATTATGATGAAAAATAAGTCATAACTGTCATATAAATCGCATATTACCGATGCTAAGGTCCCACTGCCGCCTAGCCTGGAGGTCAGGTATTAGATCCCTGCATTGGCCGAGAAAGTTCATCCAGATTTTCCGGCGTGGTTCCCCCTTGTCAGTGATGCAGGACGGAGGGCCTGACAAGGACAGCCGTCTAGTCGTTCGGATGGGACGAAAACCCGAGGTCTCGTGTACATATTGGAATGCACGTTTAAGATCCCCTGGCAGTTGGAATTCGATATAAGAGTAGGCGATAGTGCCGCTGCCTGGGCAAAATTTCCCTCATAGCACACTGTATGGCGTATGCCCGTCTTCATTAGCCCAATATAGGAGCAGAACAGTAGGACGTTAAACCCCATTTCATTTCATTTCATTTCCCACTGCCGTGTGATGCGTTACGAATGCGACGATTGGCCATTCCTAGCTGATCTTTGAATTTATATTTACTTCTCTGGGTGGTCACATATTGTCCGTAACTTAAAACCAATAAATAAACTATTTACGTATTGTCCGTATATATATTACTAGGATGCTGAGGTAGCTGAAGGAGTAGATGTAAATGGTAATGAGAATAACGAAGCTGAAAGTGGAGAAGAAAACGAGAAACTGAGTCGCCATCCGAGTAACAGAAGTAGAAGGTAACACATGTACCTGAAGCAACGACTGCGAGTTTCACAACATCTGGCCGTTGCTTGTTTACTTCACAATTCCCGAACTTATAGCTATGTTGTCCACAGACACGTGAGCAGTAGCGTCCATTCAGAGGTTGTGACATCGCGACCTCCCCGGAAACCTTGACATTGAATGAACCTTGAATTTTGCAACTCGATTATCACGGGTTGACATTTTAGCTTGAAAGCGCGAGACCTGGTATTCGCGACGACCGAGGAATCTGATAGGCTCACAGGTTGGGCTTGTACCCAATCGAAATTAGTGCTGAAATATGCAGGGTATTACGTGAAGGCCTTGATAAGATGTACGTAGTTAAAGCGAGATCAAGCCTTCTAGATGAACGTAACACTGCTAATAGTGATTGGAGGAACTAGATAAACAAACAATAAAAACATGTTCAAGATGTCCTTTAGAACAGTGGTTCCAGCCTATTTCATCCTCTAGAACAGTGGTTCCTAACCCATTTCATCCCCTAGAACAGTGGTTCCTAACCTATTTCATCCCCTAGAACAGTGGTTCCAACCTATTTCATCCTCTAGAACAGTGGTTCCTAACCCATTTCATCCCCTAGAACAGTGGTTCCAACCTATTTCATCTACTAGAACAGTGGTTCCAGCTTATTTCATCCTCTAGAACAGTGGTTCCTTACCCATTTCGTCTCCTAGAACAGTGGTTCCCAACTTATATCATTCTCGAGTGGATCCTTTAGAATAATAACACTGTTATTTAATCAGTACATAGGGCAGTGGATCGCAACAGTGGATCCCATCCCTCACCCACAACATCTGTATTTACTGTAGGCAGTCGTGTATCCCATAATATTAGGTGCCTTATGACTTAACGTGCGTGAAACCACTAATCACAAAATAAATCTTTGATAAACCTGAGCATGGTCCATGAAGGTAAAACATTAAATTACGAAACAAATATGTATGAAACAATTACAGTTTCTGGTCAATCATAGCAAGATGATCACTATTCCTATTAATAACAGCGGGGGCCGTTGGGAGGCCGAATGGTTAACGCGTGTGAGTTGCATCATAAGGTCGGTCATTGAGTCGCCTGTCCAGCCTCGTGGGATTTCTTCAGCTTCTCCGGTGCCCTCCAACTGCTGAAGACTACGAATTAATTAAATTAACTTGACCCACATGTTGTTAGTCCCGAAATGACCTCTCTCTCTCTCTCTCTCTCTCTCTCTCTCTCTCTCTCTCCAATATCTGATTAACATACAGATCTATATTTCGTTTCGTTTTTTTTTACCTTTTCGATGTCCTACACTACATGAAGATCTGTTGTGAAGACAAGTAAAACGAAACGAAATAGGATCTGTGGTTTAATCAGATTGGCGAACATCCTGCGAACTCCCGATTTTTTTCACTGGTTGATAGATATTTGTAATTAATATATATTTTTGTTACAGAAGTCGTAGAAAAAGTAGCGCTGCTGATCATCATGTGCGTATTAATCTTCGTGCTGAAGATGCAGATTCTGATGAATATCGTCACAGTCAAAAAGTTCCAAATAACGGTATGATAACGCTTTGAATGACTTTTAGCAGTTGAACAAATATAACGAAATTTCATGAAATGAAATGGGGTTTAACGTCCTACAGTTCTGTACCAACTGGGCTAAGTGGGTAAGATGCTGGTTCGCGAGTTTGCTCCTGGCGTTGGCCGAGAAAGTACGAGATTGTATCGCGTGGAGCAGGACGGAGGGATTGACAAGGACAGCTGTCTAGTCGTTCGGATAGCCCGCAAAAACCGAAGCCCCGTGTTCATATTGGGGTGCACGTGAAAGATCCCTTGGCAGCTGGAATTTGATATAAGAGTAGACTGTAGCGCCGCTGCCCCTCATAGCATACTGTATCGTGTGGCGTATGCCCCTCTTCATTAGCCCAGACAGGGCAGAACAGTAGGACGTTAAACCCCATTTCAATTCATTTAGACTCGCTTATTTGAATATAATCATTAACAGTGCTGCTGCCTTTCGGACATTGGGCATATTAGTTAAAGTGGAAATTGCAAATTTTTAAGTTATATTTTTAAAATTTATTAAAATAAAGCCTGAAAATAGATGGTATCTATAAACAGTCCTACCTTGTTAAAGAATAATCCTATTAATCCTATAATTCACTATTGCCAGCTGAGAAATTGGCAAAAATATCATTTTCCTCTTCATTTTCAAACGTTTGAAGAAAGCTACTCCATGGTGGAGAATAGAAAACAAGGGAGGTAATTGGGAGGTAATTGTGTTATTATTTCATGTGTAAATGAGTTTTAAGTGTGAGGATGACACCTATGATCGTATAATTGTTGACAACCTATTGAGCAAAAGACATAGAAATAATTACGTTTTGACTTTCTTAGAAAATTTGCAATTTCCGCTTTAAAGTAGCTAATTCTCTAACTCAATATCATCCAAAGTTTTACACATTGAAAATACGAATTATTTGTCAATTCAAATCAACATTGATGTTGTGATCTTACCAGGAAAAGGCAGGCTTCTGATATCCAATATTTAAGACAAAATAAACATTTTACCATTGGTGCACGAATCGTGTACCATAGTACGTTTGAGCGTCATTTGCAACAAGTGATCAGAAAGTATGAGGCTAGACATATTCAACTGGAGAGTCTGCTAGACAGACTGGAATAACCAGACGCTAGAAATTGCTATAGGGTTGAGACACATGCCGTATTTCGCAGGACATAACTGATTTGAAATTAGAGTCAAAACGGAAACAATTGAATGTAAATCAGTTTATATACAATCAGATTACATTATTATATGCGTTGCGACCCATTTGGGTCGATTTCTAGGTCCCAAATATTAGCGATTTAGCTCCTTTAAGTCGGACAATATGTAAATAGTTTGTTTTCTCAACTTGTACAACAGTCCCCCCCCCCTCAAAAAAAAATATGATGTATAGGAACATTCCATAATAATAAGATTTTATGCCTTATTAATTATTTTTTAGAAGATACCGATGAGGAGGAGAAAGGTGAAGAAACTGAACATGAAGAAGGAACAACAGATGATGAAATGGATGATGAAGAAGAAGATGACGTACGAACAACTTCAACACAGATGAGACCACGACGAATATCTGAAATTCATATCTCCAATAAAGTCAGACCAATACCACAGGCTAGCTCTTTGTTCCTCTTCTCTCCCACAAACAAGTATGTTGATCAATTACCTTTATTGCACCTGGTTTCGAATCCCCGGTTGTATGTGGCAAGGAGTAGGGTCGCCTGTCCAACCTCGTGGGTTTTCTCCGGGTCCTCCGGTTTCCTCCCACTGCTAAAGACCCCTACGCGCAAGCGAATTATTGAAATAAAATTAAGCCATTTGTTAGTTCTGAAATGACCTAGTTTGTGTCGAGTGGACGTTAAACCCCATTTCTCTCTGTCTCTCTTTATTGCACCTGAGGGTTTAGTGGTCTAGTGGTCTATTGTGTGTGCTTTACATCAAAAGTTCTGTCATTAGATGAAGTGGTATGGTTTCGATCCAACACTTATACGCATGACAAGGTGTGAAGTTACCTGTCCAACCTCACCTTTATTGTACCTGAGGGTTTAGTGGTCTAGTGGTCAATCTCGTGTGCTTTAGATCATAAGGTCTGCCATGAGATGAAGTGACATGGATTCGATCCCACACTTATACCTGACAAGGAAGTAAAGTTACCAGTTTTATCGGGATCTTCCGGTTTTGTCCTGCTGCTAAAGCGAATTATTGAAATAAAATGGTTCCAAATCTTTGTCCCAAAATGACCTATTTGTGTCTAGTGAGTTAAATCTCTCTCTCTCTCTTCTCTCTCTCTCTCTCTCTCTCTCTCTCTTTATTGCTCCTTGTATAAATTTATACTTTGTCCCCGTCATAATCATGGCACGAGTGGAGATAACCCTTTGTTTTTCGTTGAAGGCCAGGCCCCACATACTTGTAAGTCAAATGACAATAGTAGAGGTCAGTTTCTGCCATGTCAAAATTTAACGAAATTATTACTTTGATCCAATTCTGTTTTTATGCCACAGGTTTGCAAGACTGCTCCCCAAAGCAGGAAAAATTTGCTGCCCGTTTAAAATTCAATGATATAAAAAGTATTGATGGAAAATTTCAGTCTTAAAAATAATAAAGAAATGGATTAATTGAGAAAGTAAGAAATTTATTATTTTAAAATGTTGATGACGTCTTTGAGCTTGAATGACTACAAAAAATGATGTTTATTTTTAGATTCCGAGTCCTATGTCACAAGATATGCAATCATTCTCACTTCCGTAATGTGGTTCTGGTGTGTATTTTAATCAGTAGTTCTATGTTAGCTGCAGAAGATCCATTACAGTCGGAATCACCTAGAAATAAAGTAAGTTATTAGATTTTGACCGGGAGGGGGGGGGGGGTTGGATGGCCGAATGGTTAGCACGCGCGCGCTGTATCATACAGTCTGTCATCGAGTCAACTGGCGAGGTTTCAATTCCCCGGTTGTACGTGGCAAGGAGTAGGGTCGCCTGTCCAACCTCGTGGGTTTTCTCCGGGTCCTCCGGTTTCCTCCCACTGCTAAAGACCCCTACGAACAAGCGAATTATTGAAATAAAATTGAACCATGTGTTAGTCCCGAAATGACCTAGTTTGTGTCGAGTGGACGTTAAACTCCATTTCTCTCTCTCTCAGATTTTGACCATTCTCTCAAACAGTGTAAAATAAAATGGGGTTTACGTTCCTACCTTTCTACACCAACTGAGAGAGAGAGAGAGAGAGAGAGAGAGAGAGAGAGAGAGAGAGAGAGAGGAGAGAGAGATTAACGTCCACTCGACACAAACTAGGTCATTTCGGGACTTACACATGGTTCAATTTTATTTCAATAATTCGCTTGCGCGTAGGGGGTCTTTATAGTAGTGGAAGGAAACCGGAGGACCCGGAGAAAACCCACGAGGTTGGACAGGCGACCCTACTCCTTGTCACGCCCATCCGGGGAATCGAAACCCCGCCAGTTGACTCAATGACAGACCGTATGATAACCATTCCGCCATCCAACACCCTCGCACCAACTGAGACAAATGAAGAGAATATTGTTCGGACAACGGCTTTTCCACATTCGTTTCTTTGAATTGGAACTGCCAAAGATTCTGTTACCATCACACCGATGTTGAATCCTGCTGTGAATCCTGCGGTTCGATTCCGGATGAGAGCATTCTGTCACATTTGGCAACTTTTCAGATGTGACTGGGAGGGCTTCAGACATAATCAGGCATAGATTATAGCTGTACCTTGGGGACCAGCCATCTGATAGAGAGAGAGGGGGGGGGAAATTCAGCAGGATCATAAATATAATGTGGTATGCTGTGTGATTGTGCGTATATCTACATCTAGATTAGTGTGACATTTGGAAATTACAGAAGAGTAGGCGTAAACACCAATGCCTTAGTAAAATTCTTCTACCTCGCAATGCAATAAAAAGGATGGATGTATTGTGTTGACATTAGACATCTGAAATGAGATTAAAGACTGACAGCGTGAAATTCTATTTCTCTTTAGATATACCTCTAAATTCTGTTAAAGGGACAATAACACTCTTGCTGGCTTGAAAGCTCCAGAAAATAAATAATATCTCTATCTAAGTACTAGATGTTTAAGTGTCCTACCTGTTGTGTAAATTATCCATTACATCCTATTTTACTTGTCCAGACGGTTCGAAAATATTTTTAAATCAAAGTTTCATTTGAAAAGGTTTACGTTAGACGTTTCAAACCATTATGTTGAATTTTTCAAAATTTTTAAATAAGGTGTGTTAAAATGAAATTTGTATCATCAATTAATTGAAATATTCTAAAATAGTACAATTTGTTGACCAGAATAAAGATTGGGACATATTATTCAGTTACAACAAGAGTGGTATTGAGCCTTTAAGGTACACCCCTAAATTCTGCTATTGTATACACCCCTGAATTATCTTAAGGTACACTCCTAAATCTTAAATTCTTTTACGGTACACTCCAAAATTCTCTTACGGTACACTCCTACATTCTCTTACAGTACACTACTACATCCCTAAATTCTCCTACTATACCCTCCTTTATTCACTTAAGGCTCACTCCTAAATTCTCTGAAGGTACACTCTTAAATTCTCTGAAGGTACACTCTTAAATTCTCTGAAGGCACACTCCTAAATTCTCTCCGTCTTCTTTAGACCAGTCGGAGTAGGACGTTAAACCCCATTTCGTTTTATTTATTTCCTAAATTGTCTGAAGGTAGACTCCTAAATCTTCTTAATAAGGTACACCCCTAAATTCTCATACGGTACACTCCTTTATTTGCTTAAAGGGACTATCCCGATTTGATTTGAACAGAGTCTCAAAAATAAAAGTCAGAGTACGTATGAAATTTAAGCGCCAAAATATAGCAGAATGGTGTATTTACCTTGTCACAAAATTTCAGCTAAAAATATTCAGTCGTTTGGACGTGAACGTCAAAGGTACACTCCCAAATCCTAAATTCTCTTAAGGTACACTCCCAAATCCTAAATTCTCTTAAGGTACACTCCCAAATCCTTAATTCTCTTAAGGTACACTCCCAAATCCTAAATTCTCTTACGGTACACTCCTAAATCCTAAATTCTCTTAAGGTACACTCCCAAATCCTAAATTCTCTTAAAGTACACTCCCAAATCCTAAATTCTCTTAAGGTACACTCCTAAATCCTAAATTCTCTTAAGGTACACCCCCCAAATCCTAAATTCTCTTAAGGTACACTCCTAAATCCTAAATTCTCTTAAGGTACACTCCTAAATCCTAAATTCTCTTAAAGTACACTCCCGAATCCTAAATTCTCTTAAGGTACACTCCCGAATTCTCTTAAGGTACACTACTAAATTTGATTACATTAACATTTATTATCTGTGATCAGTAAATATCTTATTGTTACTTGTTTATTTTTCAGATTTTAAACTATTTTGACTATTTTTTCACCAGTGTGTTTACTGTTGAAATTATTATTAAAGTAAGTAGATAACAAAGTTGAAATGAATCGGGGGGGGGTGGGGGGGGGTGGAGGGGGGTAGTATTCGTGTTTGATAATCCAATATGTACAGAGCATTAGCTATAGGTAAGTTGGACTAGGGGTGGTTGGGTGGGGGTGGGGGTCTATTTCTTAAGGTCTAGCTGATAGGGTTTGTCATTGAGTCAATTAGTGGCATGGTTTCAATCCCATAATTTTATATGACAAGGGGTATGGTCGCCTGTTCAACCTCGTAGGTTATCTCCCTGTCTTCCGGTTTATTCTCACTGACAAAGACTACTACGCACAAATAAATAATTGAGATAAAATCGAATCATGTGTGCCGGTATGTGTATACATTGGCGTGCACGTAAAAGATCCTTTGGTAGTTGGAATTCAATATAAGAGTAGGCCGTAGCTCCGCTGTCCGGGCAAAATTTACCTCACAGCATACTGCATGGCGTATGCCCGTCTTCATTAGCCCAGTCAGAGCAGAACAATGGCCGTTAAAGCCCCATTTCATTTTCATTACAAAAAACAGTATATCGTCATTATGTTAGAGCTAGCCCTGTTCACATCTCGTGGCCTTTGACCAAATCTACAGTTGGCCTTAATATTTAGACAGTATATCGTCATTATGTTAGAGCTAGCCCTGTTCACATCTCGTGCCCTTTGACCAAATCTACAGTTGGCCTTAATATTTAGACTTAACCATATCATTATGTTAGTCATAATGACTTGAACATTTCGTCTTGTGCTGATACAGAAAATAACCTTGTTAATGTATTTCTTGTTACAGATTATAACATATGGTTTGGTTTTCCATAAAGAATCATTCTGTCGCAGTTCATTCAATATTCTGGATTTAATTGTTGTAGCAGTTTCCTTGATATCTTTCCCACTGAAGTAAGTTGTCTTTTCTTTTATATGGGAGTCACAGTGGATCAGTGAGTGGGCCGTGGTCATATGTTAGCCAACAGAGTTCCTTTGATATATTCCTACCTAGTTTCACCTAGTTTCAATAGAAGCCTTGATCCCACTTTAACTCTGTACATTTTATCAAGGCCTTCTCATACATATTTCATCACTAATTTCGATTGGCTACTGACCCAGATTCCTCGATCATCGCGAATACCAAGTCTCAGGATTTCCAGCTAAAATATCTACATGTGATAATTGAGTTGCAAAGTTAAAGGTTCAGTCAATGTCAAGGTTTCCATCGAGGTCGCCATGTTTGATTTGAGTATGTTTGTGTCACAACGTGTGTGAGTTAAAGGGAGATAATGTAGCTATAAGTTCGGGAATTTCAGACCAGCCTAGCAACATCTAGATGTTGTAAAACTCGCAGTCATTGCTTCAGGAACATGACAGGGAGGAGGAGAGAGAAATGGGGTTTAACGTCCACTCGACACAAACTAGGTCATTTCGGGAATAATATATGGTTCAATTTTATTTCCACAATTCGCTTGCGCGTAGGGGTCTTTAGCAGTGGGGGGAAACCGGAGAACGCGGAGAAAACCTACGAGGTTGTCAGACGACCCTATTCCTTGTCACGTACAACCGGGAAATCGAAACCACGCCAGTTGACTCAATGACAGACTCTATGATACAGCGCACAAGTGCTAACCATTTAGTCATCCAACCCCCTGTCAGGGAGGAGGAACAAAAAACTGAGGTTGTATATTCAAATAGGTGATGAAGAATTAAGCACATCTTCAAGATACTGGGTGCCCTGTGATATTTTGTTCATATCCAGATGAAATTATGATTTTTATATTTTTGTTCAAATATTTTCAGTCACGAAGCTATATCAGTTGTAAAAATTCTCCGTGTGTTGAGAGTACTACGTCCGTTACGTGCCATAAACAGAGCTAAAGGTCTAAAGGTAGGATTTTTGCTCTTGATTATTTTGAGGATGGGCTATACCTCAACATAAACCATTGAATTGGGTTTTTCCAGAGATGTTATACCTAAACTTAATGGGATAAACCCAGTATGATTTTATTTTTGTTTCTAAAGTTTAAATGAAATGAAATGGGGTTAAACGTCCTACTGTTCTGCTCTTAACCTGGGCTAATGAAGATGGGCATACGCCATACAGTGTGCTATGAGGGAAATTTTGCCCGGGCAGCGATGCTACGGCCTACTCTTATATCGAATTCCAACTGCCAAGTGATCTTATACGTGCACGCCAATGTGTACACGGGACCTTGGTATTCCATCCCATCCGAACGACTAGACAGCTGTCCTTGTCAGGCCCTCCATCCTACATCACTGACAAGGGGAAACCACTCTGGAAAATCGGGATGAACTTTCTCGGCCAATGCAGGGATCGAACACCCGACCTCCAGGCTAGCGAGCCATCGTCTTACCCACTTAGCCATGTAATCCCCCTTTCTAAAGATTAAAGTGGTTGATCATGACGTGTACATTTTTTTTAGGACAATATATTATTTTTTTCACTGTTTCATCCACTTTAAAATGTATTCAAATTGATGATTTAACATTAAATTGAATTAAAAAAATTAAAAGTGAATTATCAACGGTAGATAGTACCATGGCTTGGATATTCGAGCATTACCATTTTTTTTTGTTAAGTATAGAATGAATAAAGACAAGGGAATGTACGTGCTATTTCTATTTTTCTTGTTTTCCCTTATCTTGTGACATTCAATTACTTTTTTGAATTATCAGATATCCTTTCGGTTTTCGAAGAAATTATTAGTGAGCAGAAATTGTGTTTGTCACTTCCATTTCTTGAAATCTTCATAACGCATCTATCGTAGCAATGATCTCTGTGTTAAAATTATATTTGGAACGTGTTTAAAGGCTCAATACCACTCCTGTTGTAACTGAATAATATGTCCCAATCTTTATTCTGGTCAACAAATTGTACTATTTTACAATATTCCAATTAATTGATGTTACAAATTTCATCTTAACACACCTAATTTAAAAAATTGGAAAAATTCAACTAAATGATTTGAAAAGCCTGACGTAAAGCTTTTCAAATGTGACTTGGATTTAAAATTATTTTTGAACCCCGTGGACAAGTAAAATAGGATTTAATGGATAATTTACACAACAGGTAGGACACTAACACATCTAGTACTTAGAATAAGGCTATTTTTTATTTTCTGGAGCTGTCAAGCCAGCAAGAGTGTTATTGTCCCTTTAACAAGTTCTATCACACATGTGATAATAATGACTGACACCAATATTGTTCTTTAAAAGAGGTCCAGAGATTTCATCAAAAATCATAGATGACTTGTGTTGACTAAATTCTACGCATCGCCTGCTGAATGTTGGAAAAATTTAAATTCATCATATCTTTGTAAATGCTTGAAATATTTATTACCCTCTGTATTCTTGTTGATTTTACACTTATAAAAGTTTTTTTTTATAATATGTTTATATATTGTAATCTGGTTTAAATTGGAGTGTTATATATTTTAATCTGGTTGTTATGGGAGTATTTATAATATGTTTATATATTTTAATCTGGTTTATAATATGTTTATATATTTTTATTATTACAGCATGTAGTACAGTGTGTTATTGTAGCTGTACAAACTATCTATAATATTATGTTGGTCACATTCCTTCTCAAATTCATGTTTGCTGTAATAGGAGTTCAACTATTTAAGGTAATTTTGACATTTTTAATTTAGGAGCCATGGGGCTCAGTGGCTACCGCACTATCTCACTGACTAGAGGTCCCGTGTTCGATTTCGGTGTAGACCAAGAAACCTCCTCAGGATTTTCAAGTCTGGCTACCCCTTGTTTCTAGATGGCAGGGGCCACGGTGGATCAGTGGGTACGACGTTCGACCCCTGCGTATGCCGAAAAATTCATCAGGATTTTCCGGCATGGTTCCCCCTCGTCAGTGGTGTAGGACGGAGGGCCTGGCAAGGGAGAATGTATAGTCGTTCGGATGGTACGATAAACTGAGGTCCCGTGTATACAATGGCGTGCACGTAAAAGATCCCTTAGCAGTTGGAATTCGATATAAGAGTAGGCTGTAGCGCCGCTGTCTGGTAAAATTTCCCTCATAGCACACTGCAGGGCATATGCCCGTCTTCATTAGCCCAGTCGGGACAGAGTAGGACGTTACACCCCATTTCATTTCATTTCTAGATAGCGATTCTTTGTCAGGTGATGTCATGAATTAGAATGCCAAAAAAAAAAATAAAAATAACAAGGACGATAATCCTAGTAAGTGTGTCCCGAGAATATTCTCCACATGAGCACCTAGTTTACAAAAATGACAACGATAATTGATTTAATATGATTGTTTAGTTGTGAGTGTGACTATTAGCCCGTTCAGACGCTAACTTTGTCGTCTGAAATGCAAATGTGGGGCAAATAACCCAGTTTAAAAACCCTAGTTCGCTACCTGTTTTCTAGAAGGCTTTTTATTTATTTTAAACTGGTTCATCTTGGCCATCTGAACGGGTTGGCTTAAAAACCCTGGCTCCAGCTTGCTTTGAGCGTGCTCAGTACGCAGTAAGTTACATTCATTTGAAAATATTGGGGTCAGACAGTGCCAATGTTATCGAAAGCATGCTATAACCGAATAAAGAATGTAAAGCTACCCATGCGTAGTTAACTCTAACCTCCGACCGAAGAGGTCAGAATAGTTAAACTGGCTTAGCATATATTATAGTACGTGTGAACGCAACACGATGGTGTCTTAAAAACCCCGGCGATTTTGAACTGGTTTAAGAATAAGCCTGTGATGTTTCTGTTTTAGGGGAAGTTTTACAGTTGTACAGATACATCTAAATTATCAGAAGCCGAATGTCAGTAAGTAATATTTTGGAACTTGGCTAAATTCAGATTTCGTTACAATAAATAATTGTAGTTGAGATACCAACAGTCATCTCGAGTCCGTCTCTGGCAGAGGCGTAGCTGTGAAATATATATTGGGGGGGGGGGGGCGCAACCCTAACCATAACCCATTTTTTAAAACCCCTAAAAAATATAAACAAACACCATGTGGCCATGCTGTCTACCAAGACACCGTGTGCAAAAGCATTTTGGTTACATTGCTGGCTGAGCGGGCGATAAATATTTGGTTTAGGCGGTTATGTTTTTGGGTACCTACATGCGATTCACTCTGATAAGTGGCAGAAAAAAATAAACAAAATATTACTGAAAGGCTAACTAGACACAATTTTATGGAACACAGGTACATTTTACTTCACACATGTTTCCAGGATGATTCTCTTTGTGTTTTATTTTAGCAATGTAAACCATATTGGGATATGTATAGGTTTTATACAGATAGAATCTTAACTAATCCTAATAATTGTTGTAAATAAATAGGAGTTTGGGCCTACTATGTAAATTTTTGGGGCGGTCCAAGTATATTCAGACCCCCCCCCCCCGAAAAACATGCTCTTGTCGTTCTCAGGCAAACAAGAGGAACTTGTTGCAACGTAGTGTGAAATAAACTCAGTAATTGTTTTCCATATAATTTGTTTCCAATTGTTGTAAATAAATAGTTTGGGCCTACTATGTAAATTTTTTGGGGGGGGCGGTCCAAGTATATTCAGACCCCCCCCCCCCCCCCGAAAAACATGCTCTTGTCGTTCTCAGGCAAACAAGAGGAACTTGTTGCAACGTAGTGTGAAATAAACTCAGTAATTGTTTTCCATATAATTTGTTTCCAATTGTTGTAAATAAATAGGAGTTTGGGCCTACTATGTAAATTTTTTTTGGGGGGGGGTCCAAGTATATTCAGACCCCCCCAGAAAAACAATTGGGGGGGTCAGACCCCCCCCATGTGTGACGCCCATGCTCTCTGGCAGTACAAAAATAATAATCTATCAAGTGCCACAAATCACCATTGATGCCGACACCCTTTTCTACTCGGAGCCCTCAAACGCCCCCCCCCCCCCCACCAATATTTTATATATATTTTGTATATTCCAGGGGCCAATATATAGACTTTAAGGAAGGAGATTTTGAACAGCCTATTGTGTTAGATAGAGAATGGGAAGAGAGTGCCTTTAATTTTGATGACGTCAAACAAGGCATGCTCACTTTATTTACAGTAGCAACATTTGAAGGCTGGCCTACGTAAGTTACGGTCTTTCTTGACAACATAATAATTGTCGTACTTGTCTTGTTCTTGTGTTGGTTCACGTGGCTAAGAAAGTAAGACGCTGGCTCGCTAGCCTGGAGGTCGGGTGTTCGATCCCTGCATTGGCCGAGAAAGTTCATCCAGATTTTCCGGCGTGGTTTCCCCTTGTCAGTGATGCAGGACAGAGGGCCTGACAAGGACAGCTGTCTAGTCGTTCGGATGGGATGAAAAACCGAGGTCCGGTGTACACATTGGCGTGCACGTAAAAGATCCCTTGGCAGTTGGTATTCGTTATAAGAGTAGGCGTAGTGCCGCTGCCCGGGCAAAATTTCCCCCATAGCACACTGTATGGCACATGCCCGTCTTCATTAGCCCAGGTTAGGAGCAGAACAGTAGGACGTTAAACCCCATTTCATTTCATTTCTTGTTCTTGTTGTTCGTCTTTGGGGCGACGCTCTATGAAAAAAGCCTAAAACTCCAACCATTTCATGTGTGATTGAACTGTTTATTATAGCCTGTTTCCATTACAAATTTTAAGCATGCCAGGAACGGTACCAGGCACGGCACGGTTAATTTTTTTGTAGTGTAAATGGGTCAAATGAGGTGGTCTTAGCACGGTACCAGTACTGATTACTGCACATGCTCGAAACTTTGACAGTTGTCATCAGTTCGATCAAAATGGCTGCTCAAACTAAATCAACCATCATAATTGTTTCTACCCGGGTAATTTGCATAGGGACTGAAATAAACTTTTCTGTGAAGAGTTTACATTTGACATTCTTGGAAAGGTTCCAAGACCGGTTATTTTAGAGTAATGTAAACTGGTCAAATTTTTTAGATTTATCGCGGCGTGGTACTGTGCTCAGAATGGCACTCTTATCGCAGCCAAGTGTAAACGGGGCTATAGACAATGGTCAGACTTTGAGTTTTGATATGACGTCACATTTCCAAGATGGCTGCGATGACGTCATACTCAGTTCCTAGTCAATAATACTTTCTTATTTTAAAAGTTAACATCAAAAAGGTCTTTTTTTCTGTAGAACACAACAATTGTGATTTAGATGATTCTTTAGACCAAAAAAATGCCCATCTTGTTCTTGGGGGTCAGGTCTAAATATTAAGACCACCTGCAGATTCAGTCCAGGTCACGAGAGGTAAACCCTAACCCACAATCTAATCAACAATCTTGTACCCTAAAGCTATTTACATCTTGTGACCTTGGCGAAATCTGCAGATGGCCTTAATATATAGATCCGACGTGCTTGGGGGTGGGTGACGCTCCACCAATTCATGTACGATATATATATACATGCCACGCTTATTCCTTTGATGGACGTCTATTTTGATATGACGTCTCAATTCCAAGATGGCTATGATGACGTAATAGTCAGTTCCTGGTCCTACTTGTTAATCAGTTATTTTATATTTACTGGTTTTGTTTTATTTTTTATTTCAGATTATTATATCAGTCTATAGATTCTAATGAGGAGGGGGTGGGACCTATCCACAACTTTAGGCCTTTTGTGGCCATATTCTACTTTGTCTTTATTATCGTTATTGCTTTCTTTATGGTGAATATCTTTGTTGCTTTTGTTATCGTCACCTTCCAGAATGAAGGAGAACAGGAATATAAAAATTGTGAACTGGATAAAAATCAGGTGAGACACCCTTTTAATATTTTGAAACTTGAATCTTTATTTATCTTTCTAATAATTTAAGAAAAATGTTTTAAGAAAATATATGGGGATCACGGTGGGTAAGTGGGTAAGACGCTGGCTCGCTAGCCTGGAGGTCGGGTGTTTGATCCCTGCATTTGGCGAGAAAGTTGATTAGGATTTTCCGACGTGGTTTCCTCTTGTCAGTTGTGCAGGACGGAGGGACGGAAAACCTAGGTCCCGTGTACACATTGGAATGCACGTAAAAGATCCCTTGGGCGTTGGAATTCGATATAAGAGTTGACCATAGTGCCGCTGCCTGGGAAAAATGCACGTAAAAGATCCCTTGGGCGTTGAAATTCGATATAAGAGTTGACCATAGTGCCGCTGCCTGGGAAAAATTTCCCGCATAGCACACTGTATGGCGTATGCCCGTCTTCATTAGCCCAGCATAGGATAACCCCATTTCATTTCATTTAGGAAATATTTAGCAGGAGAGAGAAGTTGAATATTGGGTCGAGCTAATCAACTCGCCCAGATTCCATTCTACTTGGTGATATTGACGACCAAACGAATAAAAACTAGTTATCAGTTTGTGATCTCCCATCAAAGTCATTTTTTAAATTATTATTTAGCATATTTTCTGACATTTTTATTGACCATAATATGCAAATGTTTTTTTTTATATTTCAGAGAAAGTGTATTGAGTTTGCTTTGAAAGCCAAACCTATTCGTCGTTATATACCTAAAGCTAGATTACAGTATAAAATTTGGTGGTTTGTGACGTCACAGGCTTTTGAGTACGGTATTTTTCTATTAATTATGATAAATACGGTAACCTTGGCGATGAAGGTAAGTTGACGAACACTTCATATTATGTTCATGATTCCCCGATTGTGGCAAAGATTAGGGTCGTCTGTCGAACCTCGTGGGTTTTCTCCGGATCCTCCGATTTCCTCCCACTGCTAAAGACCCCAACGTGCAAGCGAATTACTGAAATAAAGTTGAAGCATATGTTAGTCCCGAAATGACCTAGTTTGTGTCGAGTGGACGTTAAACCCCATTTCTCCCCCTCTCTCTCTCTCTCTGTCCTGATTGGCTGCCATATTGAAAATTAGTGTACAGGGTCTAGTACGCATAAAATAAATGCTTACAAAAATCCTCAAAGTCGTCGAAAAGATAATGAAAATGGCGGTGAACAGACTTGAGCTATTGTCGGCAGACAGTGTAAGTTTCATTTGTGAACGAACACTTAATCTGCATTTATTCATTAACATATCGGTGAGCATATCAAAGGGTCATCTTTGGCATATTTTATGACATTCATCTTTTTTGCTTCTTCAGAAATATCTTGCACATTTTTTGGACAAAGAACTAACTGGTCGCTAACCACGACTCAATTTGTACTTTTTCTTCTTCTTGGGCAATAGGGGGGTTGGATGGCTGAATGGTTAGCATGCGCGCTGTATCATAAAGTCTGTCATTGAGTCGACAGCGCACCTGTGCTAACCTTTTGGCCATTCCCCCCCCCACCTCCTGGACTAATGGAAACCAGTTGGCAAACTACAATGAAATATTAATTCTTTTGGGTCCTTTGAAATAGGCCTACTTAGTTCAAGGGAAACTTGTTCGGCAATTTTGCATTACATCCGGGCGACGACTGGTGTGGCTTAGTAAGATGTGGGTGATGCTCATGCAGATATGATTCTGGATTGATTTTTCTATAAATTAAAGATACATTATGGGAGATAAGATAAAGAGATGGCAGTTCTCGCTATAATAGTTAAAAACTAGATAGTGTAAAGGTAATTTGCTGAAAATTTCAGTCAAATTGATCCACTATGAGCCGAGAAAGAAGCGGGTGAAATTTTTGCATAGTCTCGGTCATCATTACTAAAATCATTAATATAAACAGCATAGTCTCGATTATCCGCTTTTATTGATTTAATTATCAATAGCCGTTAGCGGCATATAGGAATCTAATCCAGCCAACATCGAAGGCTAGCCTTGACATCGAGAGTTGATTATGGTCTGGATAAGTTAATTAATGTCTAATTGATAATTTAGATAACATTTCAGGCCTAAAGAAAGACTTGTAATAAGCAGATTTTGCTCTTGTATAATGCATGTTTAAATAAAGTTATATTTTCTAGAATATTTGGTTGTAATTACAGTATTATGGTCAAAGTAGCACATACTCCAAGGCCCTTGACTACCTCAATATGATCTTTACTGGTGTCTTCACAGTCGAGTTCCTGCTCAAACTTGCAGCCTTTAGGTTTAAGGTAAGTCTAGTGTTACTTCTCTCAGAGCACCACAAGATAACCATAGCGACACAATATTCATGTCAAGTGGACATTTTTAACAAAGACTCAATTGTCTAACTAGTAAGAAATGAAATGGTTTTAATGTCCTACTGTTCTGCTTCGACTGGGCTAATGAAGACCGGCAAATTCTACGAGGGAAATTTTGTCTGGAGAGTGGCAATACGGCCTGGCCCCGAGTTCACAAAGCATTCTCAGACTTAAGTTGAGAATTTACTCAAACTTGTTCACCTTATTTTAACTAAAATATAGCCCTTTATAATAGTTTTGTTGTTTGAATGTATCAGATATATCAATAAGAAACTATGTGCAAAGTTTTGTGTTTCTGGATCTAAGATATTTCTCATAAACAGAGATTGAAAGTTGAGCAAATTCTCAACTTAAGTCTGAGAATGCTTTGTGAACTCGGGGCCAGTTCTTATGTCGAATTCTAACTGCCAAGGGATCTTTTACGTGCAAGCCAATGTGTACATCGGATCTCTTTTTATTTTTCGTCCCATCTGAACGACTAGACAGTTGACCTGACAAGGAAAAACCACGCCGGGAATTCCTGATGAACTTTTTCGGCCAACACCGGGAATGAGCCCACAACCTCCAGGCTAATGAGCCAGCGTCTTACTTAGGCACAGTCGCTTCCTCTAATTAGTGAGAACTGATGAGTAGTGCGACTGGTTGACAGAGAGAGAGAAATGGGGTTTAACGTCCACTCTATACAAACTAGGTCATTTTGGGACTAACATATGGTTCAATTTTATTTCAATAATTCGCTTGTGTGTAGGGGATCTTTAGCAGTGGGAGGAAACCTGAGCACCCAGAGAAAACCCACGAGGTTGGACAGGCAACCTAACTCCTTGTCACGTACAACCGGGAAATCAAAACCAGGCCATTGACTCAATGAAAGATGTTATGATACAGCGCGCTCGCGCTAACCATTCAGCCATCCAACCCCTCGCGACTGGTTGACAGACTATAGGGTAGTGGACTTTGATTCCAACCTATAGTTGGACTTGGCTGTTTCTTACCTTTAGGGGGTTGGATGGCCGAATGGTTAGCACGTGCGTGCTGTATAATAAGGTCTGTCATTGAGTTAACTGGTGTGGTTTCGATGTTCCGGTTGTACGTGACAAGGAGTAGGGTCGCCTGTCCAGCCTCATGGGTTTTCTCCAGGTCCTCTGGTTTTGTCCCATTGCTGAAGAAATAAATAGTTTGTGTCCGGTGGATGTTAAACCCAATTCTCTATATCAACTGATAGAGAATCGTTTTCAGTCAAATTTTTTCCCCTGAATATTGGATTTTTTCCTTTTTTTTCCAGAATTATTTTGGTGATGCGTGGAATGTATTTGATTTTATTATTGTACTGGGCAGTTTTATAGATATTATCTATACAGAAACCAACGTAAGTACCATCTTTTCTCTCGCCAAATTTTTCTCGCTTTATCTCCATGCCTCTGCTCCGTGTTTTGTGATCATAGAGTTCCTAATCTCAAAAATGTTTTGTGATAAAGAGAAGAGAGAGAGAAATGGGGTTTAACATCCACTCGACACAAACTAGGTCATTTCAGGACTAACACAAGGTTCAATTTTATTTCAATAATTCGTTTGCGCATAGGGGTCTTTAGCAGTGTGAGGAAACCGAAGGACACGGAGAAAACCCACGAGGTTGGACAGGCGACCCGCCAGTTGACTCAATGACAGACCGTATGGTACAGCGTGCGCACTAACCATTCAGCCATCCAACCCCATATTTTGTCATAAGTATTTGATAATGGATGATGGATGCCTTTAATTTAGCTAGAAAGTTTTAACATACCTACATGTAGTATACTCCACTAATTATAATTAATTAAACACATCATTATTTATACAGAATAACACTTTTATTACTCTTAACTTTGCACGTAAATTAACATGGATGATATATGAATTGCATCGATTTAGTTTATTTTCATATATAATTTTTTTTTCCCCTTCAATGCTGTTCCTTTAGAGTGGTGAGGTTTGTTAATATTTTATAACATATTTTGGTCTACTTGAAACCTAAATTGTTACTCCTCAGCATGAACTACATGTGCATGATCATATGAGTTTATTGTTATGTTTAGTTATAACTTATCTCTTTTGCATTAAGTTCTCTTATTTCATGTCAATTCAGTTGCTAATGAATTTAATAAAAACAATATCATGTAGTAGATTTTATGTAGTAGATTCCGAATATTAAAAAGATAGAACTAGATCGATTTAGATTTAAAATGTTTAGATAATTTTTGTGTGGTTTAATTGTAGAGAGCGAGGAATTAGGTGATATAGTGATACTGCACAAGGGCGTTGGTCATTCAGTTGTTTAAATATATTACGCATTGTCTTGCGCGAGGGTCAGGGCGCCGCTTCGCTTCTATAACTCGGACATGTCCTACGAAAGTTTGCAAACGTCCGACCGGCTATATGTTAAATCGGACATCACCATATGATGAATCATATTCAAAATTCCCCAAAATTTGGACTCCATGCTCTTAGTCAATGTCCAGACTAGTCAATGTTTGAGAGCACAGTGCTACATTTTAAAAAACCACGAACAATCTACTGAAATAAGTTGAGTATCAGTTTTAAGGAAGCATGTGATGTAACACTATAAGGATAATAAATGTTAATCTAGACTAATATTACGTTTATTAAAATTCTTTTATATCTGGATTGTAATGATTTATATGCCTTCTTATTTTTATATTGATTCATTTTTTTAATTTTTTTTCCAGGATGGAGAGACGATTATTAGTATCAACTTTTTCCGACTGTTCCGTGTGATGAGGTTGATTAAATTACTGAGTCGAGGAGAAGGTATACGGACGTTGTTGTGGACCTTCATCAAATCATTCCAGGTGAGAACATACTGTATAATCCTTTAATTAAGGGGTGGTTCCCCCATGTCAGTGTTGCAGGACGGAGGGCCTGACAAGGACAGCTATCTAGTCATACGGATGAGACGAAAAACCGAGGTCCCGTGTACACATTGGCGTGCACGTAAAAGATCCCTTGACAGTTGGAATTCGAGTGGGAGAAAACCGGAGGACCCGGAGAAAACCCACGAGGTTGGACAGGCGACCCTACTCCTTGTCACGTACAACCGCTATAGTAATGGATATGGCAAAATAGATGATGGAATTTACTGTTTTGCCGCAGAGAAAATAAAACTTTCTGAATATAACTGATTTATATCCATGTTCTTGTCCAACACATCCATGGGGTTACCCATGCAGGACTGAATTATCTTTTTAAGGATTAATTAACTTTTTATTATTATTTTAGGCTCTTCCATATGTAGCATTATTAATTGTAATGCTTTTCTTCATCTATGGAGTAATTGGAATGCAGGTAATTCATTTATAAACAGACAATATTCTAAACCTAACCCATCTAAATTTATATACTTTTACTTTCAAAAACAGTAGATGTAATATCACACTTTCACATTTATAATCATAATCCAATTTGTTATTTCAGATATTTGGTAAAATTCGTCTCGATGATTCTACGCAGATTCATCGGAACAATAATTTCCAGACATTTCCGGAAGCTTTATTAGTCCTCTTCAGGTAAAAGTCTATTAGCTGACTCATCGTTGACCTTAACAGGTCCTCTGTGCAACATCACTGTACCAGTGATATTTTATCTTTTGAAACAGCTTCAACATACACTACCTGAAGTAGATATCACTGTACTACGGGAAATGTCATAAACTGTAAATAAACTATGCTGTGTGAATTAAAGTAAAAACAACTTTTATTTGGGAGTTGTGCTTTGTGAAATGAAAAGAGTTTTAATGTCCAACTTTTCTGCTCGGTCTTGGCCATTCAGTTTGCCATTCAGTCCACAGCAGCACTACATCCTCCCCTTTTTCTGTATTCCAACTGTCCAGGCTTCTTTTATGTGCACAAGACCTTGATTTTTAGTTCCGACTGAATGACTAGCTAGATATTGTTCTTTGCAAGGCCCTCTGTCTTGCACTACTGACAAGGAGAAGCCACACCTTAATATCCTGATGTACTCTCTAGGCCAACACAGGGGATCAAACCGGGGATCTCCAGGCTAGCAAGCCAGCGCCTTATTCCCTGAGCCACAGTTCTCTTGGGCACTGTAAAGACTATTCTGATACAAGCCTGGAAATAAGGCACCTGTCACAGACAATGTCAGGCACAGATTCAGGCTTTGTCAGGCACAAAACCTATGGTGCCTGTCATTTTGTCCGGCGCTGATTTTGTCTTTTTTTATTGATATTATTAATACATGTCTGGCACTAAGTTGAAAATGTCAGGTTCTATTTCATTAGTGCCTGATATTTTGTCAGGTGCATCTAAAACCCTTATTTCCAGGCCTGTTCTGATACTAGATAATGAACAGCGATCTCTTGATTTCTTCTATAAAATTTGAAAGTAAACATATTTTAAATTTTATAATGTTTGATGTTTTGTAGATCGGCCCACCCGAAGGACTAGACGCTATACTTGCTAAGGAAACTGCGATGCTAAACCACATTATATTTTATTATATTTAACTGAGATTATATTTGAAATTTTGTAGATCAGCTACAGGAGAGGCGTGGCAGGATATTATGTTATCGTGTCGAAATAGACCCGATGTATTGTGTGACCCGGCTGCTGATCAAGATCCTGAATCTTCATGTGGTTCTGTTATCTCCTATTTCTACTTCATCTCTTTCTATGTGCTTTGTTCTTTTTTGGTAAATATACAAAAACAATTATAGTGTATTTCTTTCATTTTGTTACTCAAACAGGCGAAATTTTAAGTCAAAAATTGTCACATATACCAACTGTTCCTTGCATTTTTATGGTAAATATACAAATTTTTCCAACCATATTTCTAGGAAATATACAAACTTTTTCCCAGCATATTTCTGGTAAATATAACAACTTTTCCTAGCATATTTCTGGTAAATGTACACAATTTTCCTAGCATATTTCTGTAAATGTTCACATTTTCTAAAAAATATACAAACTTTTCTTAGCGTATCTTTTTTTATTCAAGGTAAACAACTGTTCATGGTGGGTTTTTTTTTAATACTCAAATGTGATTAACAATTAAATAACAGAGTGAAAGAGAGAGAAATGGGGTTTAATGTCCACTCGACACAAACTAGGTCATTTTGGGACTAACATATGGTTCAACTTTATTTGAGTAATTCGCTTGCGCGTAGGGGTCTTTAGCAGTGGGAGGAAACTGGAGGTCCGGGAGAAAACCCATGAGGTTGTACAGGCGACCCAACTCCTTGTCATGTACAACCAGGGAATCGAAATCACGCCAGTTGACTCAATGACAGACCGTATGATACAGCACACACGTGCTAACCATTTCGGCCATCCAAACCCCCAATTAAATAACAACATGGGTCTTCACATTAAAAAAAAAGACATATTTGAACTAATGACATTATGTGAACTATCTGGCCTTTAAAGTTGAAAATAAGCAACTCCCTTCCAAAAAAAATGCATCCCACCACCGTACCTCTAATTTTGTTTTCAGGGCCGACAGAAGCAATTCTTGATTGGGGGGGGGGGGGAGGCTTCCATCCCCTAGGGCCTTATTAGGCGTGTGTCCAGGGGCTGCAATAACCTTGAGAAAAGAGTACTTGCAGGCAAATTATTATTGGGGGGGGGGGGGCTGCCCTCCCCCTCCCTCTGTCGGGCCTGGTTTTTAATGATAAAAACAAGCAATATTTTTTAAAGCTCATAAATAAAGCCACGCTAAGCAAGAAAGAACTTTGGTGTTTATTGAATCATTTGAAAATGTCTAAATGTCTTTTTCAGATTATAAATTTATTTGTGGCTGTTATTATGGATAATTTTGATTATTTAACACGTGATTGGTCGATATTGGGTCCACACCATCTAGATGAGTTTGTGCGTCTGTGGTCGGAATATGATCCAGAAGCAAAGTAAGACATGTTTGTTTAGTTTATAAATCAACAGTGAGAGTGAAAGTGGACTTAAACCCCATTTCTCCCTCCCTCTCTCTCTCTCTCTCTCTCCCCCTCTCTTTCTCTCTCTCTCTCTCTCCCCCTCTCTCTTTATTGCTCCTTGTATAAATTTATACTTTGTCTCCCTCTCTCTCTCTCTCTCTCTCTCTCTCTCTCTCTCTCTCTCTCTCTCTCTCTCTCTCTCTCTCTCTCTCTCTCTCTCTCTCTTTATTGCTCCTTGTATAAATTTATACTCTCTCTCTCTCTCTCTCTCTCTCTCTCTCTCCATCCATAAAACTAGAATTTCAAAGAATTAATAGAGAGAGAGAAATAGGGTTTAAGTCCACTCAAAACAAACTTTTGGACTAACAAATGGTTCAATTTTATTTCTATAATTAGCTTGCGTGTAGGGGTCTTTAGCACTTGGAGGAACCCGAAGGACCCGGAGAAAGCCCACAAGGTTGGACAGGTGACCCCACTTTTTGTCACGTACAACCGAGGAATCAAAACCACACCAGTTAACTCAATGACAGACCTTATGAAAAGCACGCAATAAATATGGTTAAATTTAAAGATAACCATATCTTTGTCTTAAAGGCTCCTGAATAATATGTCCCGATCTTTATTCTGGCCAACAAATTGTACTATTTTAGAATATTTCAATTAATTGATGATACAAATTTCATCTTAACACACCTTATTTAAAAAATTTGAAAAATTCAACATAATGGTTTGAAACGTCTAACGTAAACCTTTTCAAATGAAACTTCGAACCCTCTGGACAAGTAAAATAGGATGTAATGGATAATTTACACAACAGGTAGGACACTTAAACATCTAGTACTTAGATAGAGATATTATTTATTTTCTGGAGCTTTCAAGCCAGCAAGAGTGTTATTGTCCTTTTAAAATATTCTAGTTTAGTTCCATTTCTTTTCTTAAATTTTCCGGCGTGGTTCTCCCTTGTCAGTGATGCAGGACGGAGGGGCTGACAAGGAAAGCTGTCTAGTCGTTCGGATGGGACGAAAAACCGAGGTCCCGTGTACACATTGGCGTGCACGTAAAAGATCCCTTGGCAGTTGGAATTCGATATAAGAGTAGGCCGTAGTGCCGCTGTCCGGGCAAAATTTCCCTCATAGCACACTGTATGGCGTATGCCCGTCTTCATTAGCCCAGGTTAGGAGCAGAACAGTAGGACGTTAAACCCCATTTCATTTCATTTCATTTCTTTTCTTATATGAATTTCAACTTAGATTTAAATTTATTTTATTTGATTTCAGAGGTCGTATCAAACACTTAGATGTTGTCACCTTGCTCCGAAAAATCAATCCACCACTTGGTTTTGGTAAACTTTGTCCTCACAGAGTAGCATGTAAAGTAAGTTGGAGATCCTTCTTGAATTCTTACTCCCCACTATAACAATTTGTGCTACGATTGAAATTGTGGTTTTAATCGTGGGGTAATCATGATCATTCTATCAGGTTTTATCATACATGGAGATCCTTCTTTAATCCTTACTCCCCACTATAACAATTTGTGCTACGATTGAAATTGTGGTTTTAATCGTAGGGTAATCATGATCATTCTATCAGGTTTTATCATACATGGAGGTCCATAGTAACAGTCGTGTTGATACTATCGAAACATATCTGTGCATATATACCAGATCGTGGACTAAATAGGGACAACCCTATCTTAAAGCATTGCATGACAGTGGCAACCTAACATTAGTTAAAACACAGAAATAGAAATTTGTCGCATGGACATTCCGTACGTATATATTTCTATGGTTAAAACATTGATTCGGTTATTCTTTGCTAATTCTGTACATTTCCGAACATTTTTTTTTATCTATGTCTACTGCAAAACATTTTTGGGACTTTTCTCTAAGAATGTTTTGGGAACCACGGTGGCTAAGTGAGTAAGACGTTGGCTCGCTAGCCTGGGGGTCGCGGGTTTGTTCCTGAGCTGACCAAGAATGGTCATCACGATTTTGTGGTTTCCCCTTGTCAGTGGTGCAGGAAGGAAGGTCTGACAAGAACAGCTGTCTAGTCATTCGGATGTGACGAAAATACGGGCAAAATTTCCCTCATATCCCTCATTAGCCCAATCGGAGTAGGCCGTTAAATCCCATTTCATTGCATTTTATTTCCCAAAGAACAAAAAATAAAATTGGCATGACCTTTGTAAATCAAAGTTAATCAATGAAAAGCCATATTTTGTGGATTAAATTAAATTTTGAATGGTTTAAAGATGACGAAACAAATTATAAAAACTGTCATTTCCTCTTCTTCAGCGATTGGTCACCATGAACATGCCATTGCATAAGGATGGTACAGTTATGTTTAATGCTACGTTATTTGCCATTGTTCGGACTTCACTGAAAATAAAAACTGAGGGTAATATTGACCAAGCCAACGAGGACTTACGGGGCGTGATCAAAAAAATCTGGAAGAGAACAAATGCTAAGTTACTAGATCAAGTTGTGCCACCTGCTGGAGATGATGATGTTACTGTGGGTAAATTCTATGCAACCTTCTTAATTCAAGATTATTTCCGACGTTTCAAGAAACGTAAAGAACAAATGCAAAAAATACAAAAGGGTCAAGAACACGCCCATGCCTTACATGTAAGTCTTTTGATATTATTTTCAAGGGGAAGGGAGAGACCAACTATTTTCAACAAGGTTTCCATAAATTTTGAATCAATCTGATTAAAACACAGATCCTATTTCATTTTGTTTTCATACTTCAAAATTTCGTTTTACTCGTCTTTACTCTTCTAGGATCTGGAAGAGTTGTTATCATTGACGTGTTCTGGATGATGTGAGGTATTAGCCAATGAAACAATCTGTTACGGCGAGCTTTAGGCATGTTTTGCACGGAACTGTGGGTAATCCACTAGTAACACTAATGCTGATTGGTTAATCAAATGTCTGACGTCATAGGCGATAGGTCGCTTGTATGACCTCTGACGCGACCTATCGCAACAACCGGTCAGATCTTCATGTAGTGTATAAAAAAAAATGAAACGAAATATAGAGAGAGAGAGAGAAATGGGGTTTAACGTCCACTCAACACAAACTAGGTCATTTCGAGACTAACATATGGTTTAATTTTATTTACATAATTCGCTTGCGCATAGGGGTCTTTAGCAGTGGGAGGAAACCGGAGGACCCGGAGAAAACCCACGAGGTTGGACAGGCGACCCTACTCCTTGTCACGTACAACCAGGGATTCGAAACGAAATATAGATCTGTATTTTAATCCAAATGATTTTGAATATATATTCAGAGATAATCCACTCTGTAACATGATGTAATTGGTTCACCATGCTCACTGGTCTCTATAGAGAGAGAGAGAATTGGGGTTTAACGTCCACTCGACACAAACTAGGTCCTTTCGGGACTAACATATGGTTTAATTTTATTTACATAATTCGCTTGCGCGTAGGGGTCTTTAGCAATAGGAGGACACTGGAGGACCCGGAGGAAACCCACGAGGTTGGACAGGCGACCCTACTCCTTGTCACGTACAACCGGGGATTCGAAACCACGCCAGTCGACTCAATGACAGACTTTTATGATACAGCGTGCGCACGCTAACCTCTATAGTAAGCATACAGGTTTGGGGTATGTTAAGTGCTCTACTTTGATCACAATCTGTTTCACAGAGTATTAGGAAAGTCTTCTAATATATCTTTAAAAGATGACTGCCTTCAACAAATGACGTCATATCACGCGGCGTCAATCATTGGCTCAACGGCGCGTGCATTGTTTACATAAGACATTACAGATTACTCATTTTAATACCCATTTACACTAAAATAGGAAATAATTTTTACCTACAAATACTTCGGACGTCTTTATTTATTTTTCTAATGCATAAAAAAAAAAGGTTTTAGAATTTAATTTGTCGGAGGAAAAAAGTTAATATTTGTGGCTCATTAAAGGAAAATATTGGTGCTAGTCTTTATCACAATATGTGATAGAACTGGTTAAACACGTTCCAAATATTATTTTATCACAGAGATCATTGCTACGATAGATGGTAATCAATGTTTCAACAATCGGAAGTGACGAACGCAAAAGGAAAACACGAGTTATCCCTCTATATAACTGACTGAAGTGACGGGTGGTAACAGATACATGGGCGAATTTCTGCTCACTAATAATTCCTTCGAAGACCAAAAGTTGTTATACGAGACTGTGAAAGGATATCTGACAATTCATACAAAAAATGGCCTTCACTAGATAAGAAAATAGAAAAAGTCTGTGCATTACCATGTTTTTATACGCCCACATTTTCATGTGGACGTATTATGCCGTCACCCCTGTCCGTCAGGACGTCCGGACGTCCATCCGTCCACAATTTGTTTGTGGACACTCTAGAGGTCACAATTCTTATCCGATTTTGACGAAACTTGAAATATAGGTTTATCTCCAAATGATCTCGGCTGCTTTCGATATTGGCATGTATCGGATCGCAACTTCATGGATTATGGCCCCTGTTTGTATGAAAAATCACGTTTTTTGCTTGTGGACCCTATAGAGGTCACATTTTTTATCCGATTTTGTTGAAACTTGAAATGTAAGTTTATAACCCAAAGATCTCGGTTCCTTTCGATATTCGCGCATATCGGATCATAACTTCCTGAATTATGGCCCCTGATTGTACGAAAAATCACGTTTTTAGCTTGTGGACCCTATAGAAGTCATAATTTTTATCCGATTTAATAACCCGTATTATTATATCACCGTTATACCCTAAGGACGACTGAGTTCGAATTTCGTGAAAATCGGCCCAAAATTGACAGATAAAATGGCCGCCGTTCGTTCTCAAATAGCGTAAGAATATGGTATATCAAGGTTGTGGACCCTATAGAGGTCACAATTTTTATCTGATTTTGTTGAATATAGATAACTTAACCTTAAAACATGATAAATATAGATAAATTCATCATAAAACATAATAAATATAGATAAATTAACCATAAAACATAATAAATACAGATAAATTAACCTTAAAACATAATAAATATAGATAAATTACCCTAAAAACATAATAAATATAGATAAATTCACCATAAAACATAATAAATATAGATAAATTAACCATAAAACATAATAAATACAGATAACTTAACCTTAAAACATAATAAATATAGATAAATTCACCATAAAACATAATAAATATAGATAAATTAACCATAAAACATAAAATATATAGATAAATTAACCTTACAACATAAAAATATATAGATAAATTAACCTTAAAACATAATAAATATAGAAAAATCAATCATAAAACATAATAAATATTGATAAATTAACTCTTAAACATAAAAAAAAATCTTTAGATAAATTAACCTTAAAGCATAATAAATATAAATAAATTAACCATAAAATATAGATTTATTAATCTTGAAGCATAAATAAATATAGATAAATTTACCTTAAAACATAATAAATATAGATAAATTTACCTTGAAACATAATATAGATAAATTAACCATAAAACATAATAACTATAGATAAATTAACCTTAAAACATAATAAATATAGATAAATTCATCATAAAACATAATAAATATAGATAAATTAACCTTAAAACATAATATATACAGATAAATTTTCCGTAAGACATAATATATATAGATAAATTAACCTTAAAACATAAAAAGAAACATAGATAATTAACCTTAAACATGCATTATGCAACAGCAAAATCTGCTTATTACAAGTCTTTCTTTAGGCCTGAAATGTTATCTAAATTATCAATTAGACATAAATTAACTTATCCAGACCATAATCAACTCTCGATGGCATCACTAGCCTGTGATACTTACTGGATTAGAACCAGGTCTGCTGCTTTTGATTAAATCAAAAAATGGATATGTTTTTTTTATTGTACGGACTTTAGTAATGATGATCGAGGCTAGGCCCAAAATTCATTGTCAAGGCTAGCCTTCGATGTAGGCTGGATTAGATTCCTATATGCCGCTAACGGCCAAAGATAATTAAATCAGAAAAAGTGGACAATCGAGACTATGCTGTTTATATTAATGATTTTAGTAATGATAACCGAGACTATGCAAAAATTTCACCGGCTGCTTTCTCGGCTCATAGTGGATCAATTTGACTGAAATTTTCAGCAAATTACCTTTACACTATCTAGTTTTTAACTATTATAGCGAGAACTGCCATCTCTTTATCTTATCTCCCATAATGTATCTTTAAAGCATAATAAATATAAATAAATTAATCCTAAAATATAATAAATATAGATAAATTTACCTTAAAACATAATAAATACAGATAAATTTATAGTTTTTCATATGTAAAACCACTTAATAATATAGATAAGTTTATAGTTCTTCATGTGTAAACAACTTAAAGGCTCAATACCACTCTTGTTTTAACTGAATAATATGTCCCAATCTTTATTCTGGTCAACAAATTGTACTATTTTACAATATTTCAATTAATTGATGATACAAATTTTATCTTAAAACACCTAATTTAAATAATTTGAATAATTCAACTAAATGATTTGAAAAGCCTGACGTAAACCTTTTCAAATGTGACTTGGATTTAAAAATATTTTCGAACCCTCTGGACAAGTAAAATAGGATGTAATGGATAATTTAAACAACAGGTAGGACACTTAAACATCTAATACTTAGAATAAGGCTATTATTTATTTTCTGGAGCTGTCAAGTCAGCAAGAGTGTTATTGTCCCTTTAAAAAACATGTCTAATAAATAATCAACTAAAACTAAAAATTGTCAGATCTTAAAAAAAATTAATCTTGCTAATTTGAGGTAAAGAGAGAGAGAGAGAAATGGGGTTTAACGTCCACTCGACACAAACTAGGTCATTTCGGGACTAACATATGGTTTAATTTTATTTACATAATTCGCTTGCACGTAGGGGTCTTTAGCAGTGGGAGGAAACCCGAGGATGCTGAGAAAACCCACTAGGCTGGACAGGCGACCCTACTCCTTGTCACGTACAACCGGGGATTCGAAACCTCGCCAGTTGACTCAATGACAGTCCTTGTGATACAGCACGCACATGCTAACCATCCGGTCATCCCCCCCCCCCTTAATTTGAGGTAAATTAAATTATGAATATTAATATCATTTATCAAATTTACATACTGTTTCTCTGTAGGCGGGTCTGCGTGCTGTACTGGATTTAGGTCCTGAGATTAGACGAGCGATATCTGGTAACCTTGACGATGAAGAATTTCAAGAGAAAGAAGGGGAAGAACCTATGCATAGGGTTAGTAGATATAAAATGAAATGGGGTATAACATCCGACGCGGCTAATGAAAACGGGTTTTGTCCCTTATTTCTAGGCTTGTATACATTGTTCATTGACCCGGGTGGCGGGGGGGGGGACGACGCTGAAAAATCCTGATGAACTTTCTCGGCCAATGCAGGCATCGAAGAGACTGGACATTAGATGATTTGGGGTGATTTTAAACAGTTTTTACAAATTTTTAAAGAAAGATTGGATATTAAACGAATGAGATATAAAATCAGTGCTAGATACATGAGATTAAATGATAGCCGGGTTACAGTGTACATAAGAAGAGAGAGAGAGAAATGGGGTTTAAGTCCACTCGACACAAACTAGGTCATTTTGGGACTAACATATGGTTTAAATTTATTTACATAATTCACTTGCGCGTAGGGGTCTTTAGCAGTGGGAGGAAACCGGAGGACCCGGAGAAAACCCACAAGGTTGGACAGGCAACCCTACTCCTTGCCACGTACAACCGGAGATTCGAAACCACGCCAGTCGACTCAATGACAGACTTTATGATACAGCGCGCTCACGCTAACCATTCAGCCATCCAACCCCCCCGTGTACATAAGAAAGGCTTATGCTAGTTTCAAAAAATATAATCCACCTGGGACAGAGAGGCTCCCTAGATGCTTAGACCCTTGGCTTTACCCTACCAAGGTTATCTTCCAGCACAGTGTATAAAGAAATTCATGAAATACAGAGGACAGGAAAAATTACAATTAAGTTTCTTTGGCACTGTAATTTGCAAAGTGAAATGAAATGAAATTAAATGGGGTTTAACGTCCTACTGTTCTGCTCCTATGCTGGGCTAATGAAGACGGGCATACCCCATACAGTGTGCTATGAGGGAAATTTTGCCCGGGCAGCGGCACTATCGCCTACTCTTATATCAAATTCCAACTGCCAAGGGATCTTTTACATGCATTCTAATGTATACACGGGACCTCGGTTTTTCGTCTCATCCGAAGGACTAGACAGCTGTCCTTGTCAGGCCCTCCGTCCTGCATCACTGACAAGGGGGGACCACACTGGAAAATAATTTGCAAAGGCTTTGTTTAGAATTCTTCAGGTAGACAAGCACCGAAACAGAAATTGTTTTATATATGTTTATATCTTACAGAGAAAACATGCCTTGTTTGGCGGCGTTGTTAGTGCTATTACCAGTGGCGGTAAAACCATTCTTCCGTTCTTAAATAGAACTCAATCACTTTATGTTAACTCAGCACAAAATCGTCCCAAGGCCCCACCGGTCAAAAATATGACCGTCAATTCCATAAATGGTAAAGATTCTGAATCCAATTCTATAAACCATATGGATCATAGACAACACGCTGTTCCGAACCACACACCATCTCCACAACCTGTTACAGAAATACCAGCATCTACAAATACAACTAGTAGACTAAAACATCAACCAAGGTAGGTGTTACTTATTTTATCTTCATTCATTCATACTACCCCCCCCCCCCCACCCCTTCCATATTAGTAACTTGGTCATCAACCTAAATCTCCATTTTTATCATCAACCCAATCTGTAACTTTATCATTAACCCAATCTCTAACTTTGTCATCAACCCAATTTGTAACTTTATTATCAACCCAATGTGGGGGTTGGTCGAGATCTATCCACTCGTTATTTGTTTGAACGATCTGTTAGAACGATCTGTAAGAACGGTCTGTAAGAACGATCTGTAAGCCAGCAACATCAACATAATTGTCTTTTATTATCAGCCTGAATCTATGACAAATGTTACTTGTGTTTTCAGTACCCAGATTTCCTCAGAGGAAGAAGAAGAAGAATCAGGAACAGAAGTAGGAGAAGAACCGATTCGTGATTCAGATTTAGAAACAGTAGTTTCCCACTCATCGACAACTCCCACCCAGCCACCATCATCTGATCGTCATATGATACCAAATAATACCATGCATGATAAGCCACCTGGTATATATGTTTATAGAGATCTAGAGTAAGTAAAGGGCTGGGAGTAATAAGCATTTATCTAACAGCGATTTTCTAGCTGACTGTTCACACAAGGGGGGGTTGGATGGCCGAATGGTTAGCATGTGCGCACTGTATCGTAAGGCCTGTCATTGAGTCAACTGGCGTGGTTTCGAATCCCCGGTTGTACGTGACAAGGAGTAGAGTCGCCTGTCCAACCTCGTGGGTTTTCTCCGCATCCTCTGGTTTCCTCCCACAGCTAAAGACTCCTATGCGCAAGCAAATTATTGAAATAAAATTGAACCATGTGTTGTTAGTCCCGAAATGACCTAGTTTGTGTTGAATGGATGTTATACCCCATTTCTCTCTCTCTCTCACTGTTCACACATTATGAAATAATCAACTTATCCATATTACTTTGGTCCCCAATGACTATATGTAGGGGACATTCTCAGTTAAAGGTGCATTATGGTAGATTATATAAAGAGCCGACAGTTCTCGCTATAATAGTTAAAAACTAGATAATGAAAACAGAATATGCTGAAAATTTCAGTCATATTGCTTCAGTCTGAACCAAGATATTAGGAAGTCCGTTTTAGGCTAGCCTTGATTGTCATTACTACCGTTGGTACGATAATAAATGAGGTCTCCATTATCCATTTTTACGTTAAATCATCCATCACAATACATATTCATATCCACTCAATATCACGAGCTAACGATTGCATCGAGAGTGGATTATGGTCTTGGTAAGTTAATTAATATCTAATTAATAATTTAGATAACATTTAAGATCCAAAGAAGGAGCTGCAATAAGCAGATTTATTATAAAGCCCAAAATTCAGGCATATTAGGATGGTGATTTGAGGTAGCTGTAGGCCTACTATACATAACTGGGTATTTCCAGGCAAAGTAGTACATCTTTGGGGAGTAATTTGGGATTTTCTTTACATTTACTCTTACACATATATATATAAAAATTGGCATAATGCTTAATATTGTCACATTGTTTGAAAATATATTTTAAATGCATAAAAAACTGACCTGGTGGAAGACTTTGAAGTGAAAGCCTTCATCAAGAGAGAGAGAGAGAGAAAAATTGGGTTTAACATCCACTCGACACAAACTAGGTCATTTCGGGACTAACATATGGTTTAATTTTTTATTTCAATAATTCGCTTGCGCGTTGGGGTCCTTAGCAGTGGGAGGAAACCGGAGGACCCGGAGAAAACCCACGAGGCTGGACAGGCGACCCTACTCCTTGTCATGTACAACCGGAACATCGAAACCACCACCAGCTGACTCAATGACAGACCGTATGATACAGCGCGCACCATTCGGCCATCCAACCCCCTAACTCAATAACAGACCTTATGATACAACGCGCACACGCTAACCATTAGGTCACCCGGCTCGTCTTACTCAATGCTCCACTGAGACTCACTGATCATAATAATATTAAAGATATTAAATGTGACCGGTGACAGCCAAATGAGTCGGAAGTCGGACATGCTCATTTAACGCTACGATGTAAAATAGCTACTTGAGCTTAACTTTAAAAAACATTTTTTTGCGAAATCCGATGCTTTAACTTGTCTTTTATTTGAGTAATCCAGACAAATTTAAATATATAATTAATTTAGTGTATAAATTGGGTGTTTTGTAAGTAGTGTTATTAAAATCAATGCTAAAAACAAAACTTTTCATCCAATCTTTACATTTTATATATCATTGAAAAGCTTATAAAATGTACTTTCTGAATATATGCATAACTCAAATATTATTTTTTCCAAAGTGACTCATTTGGCTGTCACCGGTCACAAATGGCTGACATTATTTTATGATGTTTCTTTCAATTATCTTTTCAGTCTTCCACAAGAGGACAGTGATTTTGAACGAGAACAGACGCCACCAACTCCACCACGGCCACGAAAACTAAGTAAACGAGGAGCTTCCTTGAAACTAGCGTGTATAGGGAAACAAGACAGCGATGAGAATCCGTTAATGAGAAAGGTTAACTAACATATTAAATTCAAATTATGCTGTCAAATTTTATGTACATTTCACAAGTGGATTCAAATTATCCAATTACAATTTTTACACAGTGCAGCCAGTCAACATAAAATTTCACAATAAACAGATGAAAACAAGATCCGTTTATTACACCATACTTGTGACTGGTTTTAGCATGTTTGCATGAATTCTTTGATAATATATCCTTTGTTCCTTTCTTCTGTTTTTATATCTGGAACTGGTCCTCAACCGTTTCTCATCTTGTACTTGTTGTTCTTGGGGCTGTTCCTTTCTTCTTTTTTTGGATTTGGAACTGGTCCTCAACTGCTACTCATCGTGTTCTTGTTCTTGGGGGCGACACTCTCCGCCAATTTAAGTACGATCGACATGAAACTTGGCATGCTAGTCCCTGGGACAATTATGGATTGATTACCGGATTTCAATTTTGTTATGATGTCACAATTTCAAGATGGCTGTGATTATATAGTAAGTGCAGGAGGACTGCACCACACACAAAGAATTACACAAGACAAATCTACTGACAAGACACAATATACAGACACCACAAACAACAAACGTACATATCAGATCAAGTGAATGAATCGGGGGAGGCTAGTCGTAAGCATCCACTGCACTGTACAGTCCTGGGCCTGTAGTGATACAACGACTTCACTCAAATGAAATGAAATGTGGTTTAACGTTCTACTGTTCTGCTCCTAATGAAGACGGGCATACGCCATACAGTGTGCTAAGAGGGAAATTTCGCCCGGGCATCGGCGCTACAGCCTACTCTTATTTCGAATTCCAACTGCCAAGAGATCTTTTACGTGCACGCCAATATGTACACAGAACCTCGGTTTTTCGTCCCATCCGAACGACTAGACAGCTGTCCTTGTCAGGCCCTCCGTCCTGCATCACTGACAAGGGGAAACCACGCCGGAAAATCTGGATGAACTTTCTCGGCCAATGCAGGGATCGAACACCCGACCTCCAGGCTAGCGAGCCAGCGTCTTACCCACTTAGCCACATGATCCCCAACTTCACTCAAAATGAAAATTAATAAATGTCACTATTGTTTAGTATTTGGTCGAATTGTTACTACCCATGTCCGTCAGTCTACAAAAGGCTGTATATGAAAGTCGAATCTGTCGATGTTAACAGAGAGAGAGAGCGAGAAATGGGGTTTAATGACAACTCGACACAAACTAGGTCTTTTCGGGACTAACATATGGTTTTAATTTTATTTCAATAATTGGCATGCGCGTAGGGGTCTTTAGCAGTGGGAGAAAACCGGAGGATAAGAAGAGAACCCACGAGGTAGAACAGGCGACCCTACTCCTTGTCACGTACAACCGAGGAATTGAAACCACGTCAGTTGACTCAATGACAGGCCTTTTGATACAGCGCGCACATGCTAACCATTCGGCCATCCAACCCCCGTCGATATTAAGAAATCCTGAATTTTATAAACTGGGTTACCACTGAGTGTCATATTTTATGTAGTGCACTGTAATTGATATTTGTATCTTTTGCAAAATCCTAATCATATTTTTTTCAGGCCATGGCTGTAGCTAGAATGACACCAGATGGTCACCAGCGACTCGAAATAAACTATCCAAATGCTGTTCGTAAAGTGCCTAGTTCCCCTGGCAACATAAGACGCAATAAAACAACAGGTAATTAATGTTCTGCCAATTTCATGCTGATAAATTTACCAAGATTACAAATCATGCCCCGAGTTCACCAAGCATTCTCAGACTTCAGTTAAAGGGACTATCCCAATTTGAACAGAGTCTCAAAAATAGAAGTCTGAGTACGTATGAAATTTAAGTACCAAAATAAAGAGGAATGGTGTATTTACCATGTCTCAAAATTTCAGCTCAAAATATTGAGTCGTTTGGACGTGAACGTCAAAACTGCTTATTTGGACACGTAACCCTTTTAAGATTTCGGGTCAATAACCAGCAAAGTATTGTTTCAGGACTCTGGATTCCAACAGAATTCCTTCTTAAAAATATTCAAATAATTCAAGTATCAATAGCAGATCTCCAAAGCTCATAGTATCAATAGCAGATCTCCGAAGCGCATGAGAATTTAAGACAGAGTTTTAATTATAGGAGAAGTAACTCTGCAAAAAACCAAGAGTGCGCACAAACGGGGAGTGGTGGGAACAATAATTTCCAAATACATGTAATTTTCATAGGGTTCATCCCCAGAACAATCTCAGCTTGTTAAAAAAAAATACAGGTTTACAAAGTGTTTGATGACTGCAAAAAATAATTCTGAACAGAAGAATGTTTGCTTTGAAGGGACGGGAGGACGGAGAGGGGGCGGGGGGGGGGGGGGAGGGGAATTATAATCCCTCATAATAATTTGCTGTCTTTTCGCCACTTGGTAGACCTGAGAGCAAATATGAACATTAGATCTCCCTTTCTCTGTGGAGGGGCAATATTCTGTTATGAAAGATGCTTTTTATCTTTTGGGCTATGATGTTGAACTTTTCCCTTAACTTTTATCTCATGTTGAACTTTGACCTTAACTTTTATCTCATGTTGAACTTTGACCTTAACTTCTATCTCATGTTGAACTTTCATGTTGAACTTTGACCTTAACTTCTATCTCATGTTGAACTTTGACCTTAACATCTATCTTATGTTGAACTTTGACATTGAACTTTGACCTTAACTTCTATCTTATGTTGAACTTTGAACTTAACTTCTATTTCAAAGATTTAATCTGTATTAACACTAATCTTACAGGGGGAAAAATCAAGAATTTTTTCAGTCCAAGGAAAAATAAAGGTACTGCTGCTCAGCAGCTGCTGATGTCGCATGTAACAGTGTCAATTGGCGTGAAAGAAATTTGAAATCTAAAAGCACTTTTTTTTAGATTTCTTTTAGGTGTGCTGTGAAACCTTGCTGCTTTTTCTTACAATTTTTAACCTGTGTTTCAAATATTTATATAATTCTATATTAAGCATAGGAGCATGATAAGTAGAGAATTTTATACTAAATATGGATAGTAGGTTTCATATTTCAACTTAGGCCACGAAAAAAAAATTTATTGTGGTTCTTAAATCTGGTATCATTTAAAAAGGGCTGCATGATTGTTCATATATTTCCATTGACTTGTTAACTTGGAGCTCCCGTGCTCAATCCTTACGTTGACCGAGAAAGTTCATTGGGATTTTCTGGCATGGTTCCCCATTGTTAGGGGTACAGGACAGAGGGCCTGGCAAGAGTCAACGTATAGTTGTTTGGATGGAATAAGAAAACAAGGTCCCGTGAACACAGCTGTCTAGTCATTCGGAAGAGAGAGAAATGGGGTTTAACGTCCACACGACACAAACTAGGTCATTTCAGGACTAACATATGGTTTAATTTTATTTCTATAATTCACTTGCGCGTAGGGGTCTTTAGCAGTGGGAGGAAACCAGAGGATCCGGAGAAAACCCCAAGGTTGGACAGGCGACCCTACTCCTTGTCACGCTAGTCATTCGGATTGAACGAAAAACTGGCTTGCACGTAAAAGAACCCTTCGTAGTTAGAATTCGATATAAGAGTCATTAAAGTGCTGCTGTCTGGGCACATAACCTTCACTCACACAAACTAGGTCATTTCGGGACTAACATGTGGTTCCGTTTTATTTCAATAATTTTGCGCGTAGGGGTCTTTAGTAGTGGGAGGAAACCAGAGGACCGGGAGAAAACACAAATGCACGTGCTCATCATTCGACCATCCAACTCCCCACCACAGAGTTAACATTCCGTTTATTTTTATTAATTGTATGATTAGAAGTGTTATAAGTTCATTAGGTTGTTTGTGTTCTGTAGCTGTACATCGTATCATCTCATCTTTAGAGAACATTTTTTTTCAGCCCTTATTTTTGTTAAAACAGTGGATTCTCAACCTTATTTTTGTTAAAACAGTGGATTCACAACCTTATTTTTAGTTCAAATAGGGATTTAACGTTCTATGGTTTCAAATAAGGAAAATAATTATAGACCTGCTTGTGCACTGAGGCGCCAAAGGACATGAATTTTTAGATTTACAGACTTTTTACCATTTATGCCATTTAAAGTGAACAGCTGTAAAATCTCTCACAAATTTCTGTTTGTAGAACCACCAGGACCTAAATTACGTCATCGAGTATCAGATTCAGCAGCGTATGGTATTGATACAGAAGGTCCGTTAAATAGAACTCTAGAACGCGGTCCTTTAACTATTCCTCAACATGTTATGTCACAGTACGAGAGAGCTCAACAACGTAGAAGTAGTGCGGAAAGTCTTGTTCAGAAGGTAAGTAGATCAATTGACGTAGAGAGAGAAACAAACTAGGTCATTTCTGGACTAATAATTTGCTTGTGCGAAGGGGTCTTTAGCATTGGGAGGAAATCGGAGGACGCAAAGAAAACCCAAAAGGTCGGAAAGGAGATCCTACTCCTTGTCATGTACAAGATGGGATTCAAAACAACGCCATTTAACTCCATGACAGTCCTTATGATTTCACACACTCAACCATTTTCCTGAAATAATGGTCCGAGAAATCCCTCTTTGGCCATTGCTGGATTGGCTTCTGATACTTGAGCTTTTGAGGAAGTTTGTCTATTCTTCCCGTTCAATCAAATCTATCCCAAGTAGAGCAACATGACAGCCCTTCGTTTAATCTGGGTCTTCACTAAAACTTTGGACGGTGATTTAAGGTATTAAAAACGGTGAAAGTATGTTCGTCTCCCAACAGTATTGTTTACATTGTTTTCACGCAATTAGTTTTTCTGCAATATTCTGCTATGCACTGGTTAATTGGGCATAATAAAATCGTGAGTCATGATGTAACGTTATGTAAACATACAGGGTGACACAAAAAAAACATTCATCAATAAAAATCGAATAACTTCCAGAATTTTATTTAGATTAACACAAAAATTCAGCTACAATAGGGTTAAGTCTATGTAGCAGACATCTCCAAAGTTTCAAGTCTGTACCACAAAAACTCTTTGTTTAACTGGCGCTCAAAAAATGTGCTCTAAATGAGCTCCCCGGTGCTGCAAGCACATTTGGATCCCGCGGGCAAAGTTCTCGATGACCCTCCCACATTCTTCCCTTGGGATCGCTTTTATTGCTGCTGTGATTGCTGCTTTCAGATCAGGGATAGTCTGGGGGTTGTTGCCGTACACCCTGTCCTTAAGGTATCCCCACAGATAAAAATCTGGGGCGCTCAAGTCCGGTGAATGCGGCAACCACTCCGGGTCACACCTGCGGCTGATCAGTCGGTCAGGGAAACGCTGCTGTAGTCATGCCAATGTTTCATTTGAGGTGTAGGTGGTGGCACTATCCTGCTGGAACCACTGGAGGTCCCTGACGACCCCTCTTCGTCGACCAAGTTTAGGTGATGAATGCTTTTAAGTGTAATGCTTTTGTACCGCAGTTAGCTATAGTGCCGCTGTCCGGGCAAAAATTCCCTCATAGCACACTGTATGGCGTATGCCCGTCTTCATTAGCCCAGGTTAGGAGCAGAACAGAAGGACGTTAAACTCCATTTCATTTCATTTCATTTCATTGTTTCTGTGTTAAATGATAACAATTGCTATTTTACAGGTACTAAGACAGGAAGGTTTAAATAAATACGTAGATCCACGGGTTCTTCAACGAGAAATAGCAGAAGCCACGGACATGACACCGGATGAAATGAATCAAGCTGCCAGAAAACTTTTACGTCACAATCGAGGTAGTGATTCTAGATGTGAACCCTATTTAGATGATTTTTAATTAGGTGCTTTAAGTGCTCAGAAACTTAAAGACTATAACCACTACTCATCGCATGATAAAATATAACACCATCAAAGACGCCAAACGGTCGTCACAAGACAGTAGTGTTATGTTATGTTTATTGTAAAGCGCATCTGAACATGTTTATCATGAAAGGAGCGCTATATAAGTACATGTAATAATAAATAATAATAAATTTAACAAACAAACCGATTCATGTGACGGCCTTATAGCAATTTCTAGCTTGTGCCTCCTACTAGTACTATTTCTACATCTAGATCGAGGTGCATGACTTCATCCATTTATATCGAGATGATGTGTGTTTGTTTTTATATCGCTGGCCGTATATATGTGTGTTGATTCTGGTCTATTAACCAGCTGGCCTGGGTGTGTTAATAGCTAGATTTTATTTTGTACACTGGGCAAACACTAGCCAAATAAATAATCTGCCTGCATGGTTTTCTCATTCTTTGTACATTATTATTTATTATTAGTGTCTCTGAACTCGTTTGAGGGAGAGAGAGAGAAATGGGGTGTAATGTCCACTCACACAAACTAGGTCATTTTGTAACTTTCGTCCCGAAATGACCTAGTATGTGTCGAGTGGACGTTAAAACCCATTTTTCTCTCTCTCTCTGTCACAAAAAAAAAAGGTTGCATGACCTGTTTTTATTTCAAAAACTGAAAACAGTTTCATTAATCATCTCATGCAGTGTACCATTGGCTCAGTTATCATCAAGTACACAACCACACCCATGATAAATGTTACTGAGAATCAGTGTTGGAATTTTAAAACTTTTTCTTGTTGGACATTTTTACTGAAAATAAAGGGACATAACTCTTATTGTTATTTAAGCAGGCGGTTTCAGACCACAATTAAAAATCATGTGTCCAACAAACTATTCAAATTTGTACGTAATAAAAAAATAGGTGCACCAGTGGGAATCCTAAATCATACTTGATGTGATATAAATGTAGTGCCTTGAAATGTGATGTTTATGAGACGTCATTTGACAAAATAAAAACACAAAAACAAAAACCTCCGTTCTGCTGCATCAGATTGTTTCGAAGGATTGTCTACGAACCAGAATATTTTTTTTCGTATGACCCTAATGTCGCGTCGCGTTTCTGGCGAACCGACGAATCTGAAATATTTAAAGTTACAATTTCATATTTTTAAGTTATATTTTTAAAATGTATTAAAATAAAGCCCTAAAATAGATGGTATCTATAAACAGTCCTACCTTGTTAAAGAATAATCCTATTAATCCTATAATTCACTATTGCCAGTTGAGAAATTGGCAAAAATATCATTTTCAACTTCAAATTCAAATTCAGCTATTCCATGGTGGAGAATAGGAAAACAAGGGAGGTAATTATGTTATTATTTCCGGTGTGAAGATTTTTAAGTGTGAGAAAGATGACCTATGATCGTATAATAGTGAGTTGACAACCTATTGAGCAAAAGACATAGATATAATTATGTTTTGACTTTTTTAGAAAATATGAAATTGTAACTTTAAGTATTGAGAATTATGCATTTGAAATTTGTGCTCTGTTGTTATCTCTATGTCTATCAAATAATAACGTTTATGTAAATGGCGTTCCGTGTCCAGGCCCCGAGTTCACAAAGCATTCTCAGACTTAAGTTGAGAATTTACTCAAACTTGTTCACCTTATTTTAACTAAAATATAACCCTTTATAATAATTTTGTTGTTTTAATGTATCAGATATATCAATAAGAAACTATATGCAAAGTTTTGTGTATCTGGATCAAAGATATTTCTCATAAACAGAGATTGAAAGTTGAGCAAATTCTCAACTTAAGTCTGAGAATGCTTTGTGAACTCGGGGCCTGATGTATATGTATGAAATATTAAATCATAAATAAATGTTAATATTTGATGTCCACAGAGATAACAACAGAACACAATTCTCAATACTTAAATATTTCAGATTCATTGGTTTGCCAGAAAAGCGCCACATATATAATAACCATTAATCCAATCATCATCTGGTGTTTGTGAAATCTTGTATCATATATTTTTATCAAATGTATAGAACTATTTTACCAAAGGCAAATGTAAGAAGTCTTTCTATCAAAGGACATAATTACAACTATAGATATATTTGCTACAATTTGAATTTTGAAATAGAAGTAAAATTTGTAAGTGAATATGTATAAATGTCATTATCTTTTGATATTTTTGTCTTCCTAATAATGTTAAAGATGGGTTCCCAGAAATATATTTATCGGGTGATTATTTCCAATAAAAGTATGGTAATTTTGGTATATGTGGAAAGTAGAGATATCCAATCTTACTAGAAAAATACTGGATTCCCCGAAAAACACTCATGGAGCGTATACAGGACAAAAATGTATGGGTTCCCCTAATCAACAGCCCGACGATTAGGAATTTCTGCACGCGTGATGTCAAAGGTCACACGCGAACATTGAGCGCTTGATGTACAAGTTGATAAACTTTATGAAGAGTTAGACGTACAACACTTTCTGAGATAAAAATGACGGAAAAGGAGGCGGGTAGTGAATAATCCGAGAATTTAATTAGGATTCGATATTTCTAATAAATAGTAAGCGATTAAAGACAACGTCGTCTTATGTATGCAATGAATTCTCCTCTGACTTCCAAGAGAGGTAAGTCGCGTGATGTAAACATGACCTGGTTTGATCGAATTTTTATAGCAGGACATTCCTTCGCAATTAAAATGTTTGAGAAGGATTTGAAGCAAAGTTATGACAAATTAATTAGTTTGAATATGTTTTTAGTCCATATATACCATTAAATCACCCAGTTTGTATGCGGGAATCCATCTTTAAAAGTTGATATTTGGAATGTGTTTGAAGAATTATCATACCCAATTTGCATGGGGTGTGAGAATGATTTAATGAATTCTAAAGAAATCTATTTGTGATTTGATTCAGTTTCTGATGAAAGATGAGACCTGTAGCAAGACCGTGATGTTATCGTTGATATTCAGGTTCCGCCTTAACCACAAATACACAAAGACTGGACATTTTGACCGAATTTACCATATGAATGTACATAATACCATATATGGAAGTTTCAGTTTAATTCCGGTGTCCACATATTTTTTGCCCATCAAATTATCATCGTTTTAATCTGTGTCGCAATTTGTGTGTGTGGATTATTTTATTGCTCCGGGGGACAACAGACAACAGGTTGTTTTTAATTTGTTTTGTCAGAGTTCAGGTTTAAACTTGAGTCTGAGTATTATTTTTAAAAAATGAAAATCACTTTGACACTTTGTTTATCTTGTGAGATAAGTACACTTTGAAAGAGAATACAATTTTGTTAAACAAAACAAATAGAAAGCTGTACTGGTTAACAGTTATGTGTAGATATATTTCTAATTGATGGTGATGATATAATATGCACTTCAAGTGTCTTCCAAGTCCATGTGGCCTTGCTGTTAATGGTTATAATGATGACTGGTTGACTTCTTACAAAATTACAGTGGTATCATTATTATTAATATGTTATCTTTTTTTCATTGTACATATTCCTTACATAATCTAATTATTAATTAATCTGCAAAGCTAATTTACCTTTTTTTTTTATTCCACACTACATGAATTCAAGCAAGGGATATGGAAATGTGCTCCTTTTAACCGGCTTGCCATCCATGTTCCGAATTCACAAAGCATTCTCAGACTTCAGTTAAGAATTTACTCAACTTTCAGTCACTATGAGAAATATCTTTGATCCAGAAACACAAAACTTTGCACATAGTTTCTTATTGATTCATTTTATACATTAAAACAATAAAAGTTTCATAAACGGCTATTTTTTTAGTTAAAATAAGGCGAACAATTTTGAGTAAATTCTCAACTTAAGTCTGAAAGAGCCAGATTTTGTTTCTTGAGAGTATCTCATAATCCGTTTAAGATATCTTTATGAAACTCTGTACATACATCAGCCTATTATAGTAGTCTGTATTTAAGATATACAATTTATATAATTCAATATTTTTATTTACAAGTCTGGATTTAAAATATACAATTTATTTAATAAAATATTTTTAATTTATTTAATTAAATATTTTTAATTCCAAGTCTGGATTTAAAATATACAATTTATTTAATTAAATATTTTTAATTACAAGTATGGATTTAAAATATACAAATTCGTATTGTATGCTCCTACATGTTAAAACAAATTTTGGAGTATCATATTGATTAATATTTTGTCTAAAAAAAAAATCCCATTTGTTGGTGTACTTTTTATGAAACCCTTAAAAAGTTTACAGCTATATATTTATTAGTAAAATTTGAAATATATATTAGGCCACGAAGAAAAAAAAACAAATCTGGTTCTCAAATGTTCCTGCATCACTTGAACATACATTATGCAAGAGCTAAATCTGCCTCTATTGCAGGTCTTTCTTAAGGCCTGAAATGTTATCTAAATTACTAATTAGACATTAATTAACATATCCAGACCATAATCAACTCTCGATGTCATTGCTAGTCTGCGATATTTACTAGATTTGAATACATTTTTTTTGATGGATGATTTAACATCAAAATGGAAATCCAGACTTAGTTTTTTTATCGTACGGACTTTAGTAATGATGATTGAGGCTAGCCTAATATTCAATCGCTAATATCTTGGTTCAGAGTGGAGCAATTTGACTGAAAATTTCAGCATATTCTATTTCTGTTATCTCTATTATAGTGAGAACTGTCAACTCTTTATCTAATCTCCCATAATGTATCTTTAAATTTGATCATTCTGAAAACTTAGTTTTGGTTACATGATGTAGATTTAAAGATGCATTATGGGAGATTAGATAAAGAGCTGGCAGTTCTCACTATAATAGTTAAAAACTAGATAATGTAACCACGATTTGCTGAAAATTTAAGTCAAATCAATCCACCCTGAACTGAGTATTTAGCGATTGAATTTTGGGCCTAGCCTCGATCATCATTACTAAAGTCTGTACAATAAAAAAACATATCCATTTTTTGATTTAATCAAAAGCAGCAGACCGGGTTCTAATCCAGTAAATATCACAGGCTAGTGATGCCATCGAGAGTTGATTATGGTCTGGATATGTTAATAAATGTCTAATTAATAATTTAGATAACATTTCAGGCCTAAAGAAAGACGTGCAAACGGCAGATTTAGCTCTTGTATAATGTATGTTTAAGTTTCTAGATTTTAATTATATTTCACACTTATTTGTATATTTCTCATAATTTGTGATTTAATCCCATTTTTATGGTTGTGTTAATAGTCAGAGTGTCAGCGTGAATGGGTGAATTATTTATTTATTTATTTATTTATTTGAATTTATAATCTTTGATTAGAAAGACGAATCCATAAGGTCAAACCAATTTATTTTTTAGTTTGTCGGTATGGAAGGGTATCGCTGCCAATATAAGTTCTTCCGTATGGAAGGTTATCGCTGCCAATATTAAGTTCTTCGGTATGGAAGGGTATTGCTGCCAATATTAAGTTCTTGGGTATGGAAGGGTATTGCTGCCAATAGTAAGTTCTTCCGTATGGAAGGTTATCGCTGCCAATATTAAGTTCTTCGGTATGGAAGGGTATCGCTGCCAATATTAAGTTCTTCGGTATGGAAGGGTATCGCTGGCAATATTAAGTTCTTCGGTATGGAAGGGTATCGCTGCCAATATTAAGTTCTTCGGTATGGAAGGATATTGCTGCCAATATTAAGTTCTTCGGTAATGGTAATGTGAAAATACCTTAAATGACAAAGTTACGTGTGAAGAATATCTCTCAATAAATTTGACATTTGCGCTTTGTGACATCTTTCTCATAGCAGTTTCTACACAGCATCTTTCTCATAGCAGTTTCTACACTGCATCTTTCTCATAGCAGTTTCTACACAGCATCTTTCTCATAGCAGTTTCTACACTGCATCTTTCTCATAGCAGTTTCTACACAGCATCTTTCTCATAGCAGTTTCTACACAGCATCTTTCTCATAGCAGTTTCTACACAGCATCTTTCTCATAGCAGTTTCTACACAGCATCTTGCTCATAGCAGTTTCTACACAGCATCTTGCTCATAGCAGTTTCTACACAGCATCTTGCTCATAGCAGTTTCTAGACTGCATCTTTCTCATAGCAGTAAATTTGATAGGCAAATGATGGATGTCACGTAAGGATGGAAACAACCCAACAGACGTTAATATTCCTATCAAGCCACTATCATTATCCGTATTAGGACTTTGTGCATTATACTTTTTATCACTGGACATTTGAGCAGACCATTTAATATTGACAGTGATACCCTTCCATACTTCGTAGGCTTGATAAATAAAATAACACTCGAGTCTCATGAAAAATGTTTTAGTTAGAATTTCAAAGCTTTAAACCGTGGAATCAAAAGCTCTTAAGAAGAGCATTCAAGCATTTTTATTTTTTTAATTATTATTTTTTTGCCCAAGTAATAGGACGCAAAATTTTAATAGCCAATCCTGAAAAACTAAAATTCAAATTGGTATGAACTAATTGTGATATTTTCAATGTGGATACACATGGAGAAACCTACACTGTAATCCCGGTAGCGTTTAATCTTGTGTATTAAGCATTAATTTCTTTAACAGTGATCAAGAAATTAAACACTTGTAAATTGGACACTCAATATCAAAATTGAATGGTCAGCTTTAAACCAGTCACAAGAACAAATTAGATGATTTTTGGTGATTTTAAATGATTTTTATGAATTTTCAAACAAGGTTTTGATATTGAATGACTGTTAAAGAGATTAATGCTAAATACACAAGCTTAAATGCTGCCTGGGTTACAGTGAGAGCTTGTATACTATGCAGTTGTACATTATTTAATATTTTGCATACTACCAGAATTTTCTTACCATTTTTTTAAAATTGTCAATAGTCTTGTACGGTACACGTTGATATATGGAAAGATTGAAATGTCATCCATTATTTCACCAAGGATTGTTACCAATGTGCAATAAAATGAAAATCTACCTGATTAGGACTTGTTCTACCTTGCCAAGCGGATTGAGGCAACAAAAAAGTGATTATTTAATTTACTGACTTATTTTGTTCCCTCAGCAAAGAAAAGTTTGGAGGAGAGAAAAAAAGGGCAATCTTATATTATTTAACTGACGAGAAATCTTTTATCTGCAATGATCTTGATCTTGCATGCAGAGATGGGTAGAGAAGGAACTGGTGAGTATTGTAAGGTCAGGGGCCCTGAAGAAGTCGATGTTCTCATATGGAGTGGGGGCCTTTTATAGTCTGGAATTTATGTTGTTTTTGATGAATTGTTAAACATACATTATTTAAACATACATTATGCAAGAGCTAAATCTGCCTATTGCAGGTCTTTCTTTAGCCCTAAAATGTTATCTAAAATATTAATTAGATATTAATTAATTTATCCAGGCCATAATGAACTCTGGATGGCATCGGATTTCTCTGATATTGAATAGATTAGAATAGTTCAGCTATATTTTAATTCAAGCTAAAAATGGAGGAGCGAGACTTAGCTTCGAACAGCCAGTACGGTGGTTGAAATTATTGCACATGTCTTGTCAAACCTTCAAAGGCTTATATCTTTGCTCGCAATAGAGTAATTTGAATGAAATTTTCAAATTATTCATTTAAGATTATCTATTTTCGAACGATTATAGCAAGAATGGCTAGCTCTTTATCTAAATCTTACATAATGTATCTTTAAGTTTGATCTTCAAGATAGACTCTAGTTATATCTACAGAAAGCACCATTTACAGTCAGTCTTTCAGAAATTTTCTCATGCCAGGAAGGAAAGACCAAAGATCACCCCTAGAGTCTGACTCAGACTCGGGAGCTTCTGAACCGCAGCATGTCCCCTGCTTGAATATCAAATAAGTAAATTACGTTTTTAATTGTATGATATTATGTTGAATTCAACATAAATTAACCATGAAGCAAAATAAGAACATGCTTAGAGCCGCAAGGGAGGAGGTGGAGGTGTGTGTGTGTGTGTGAGTGTGAGGGGGGGTACACTACAGAGCAGAGTTTTTTTCCTATGCCAGATTTGAAAGAAAAAGATGGGGGTCCCACAATCTTTTAAGGGCTTAGGCCCTGTGTGTGTCCTAAGTTTCATTAAATTACCATTATCAGTGTGACAATCCGTATAGTATCTGAGGGAACACATCTACAGCAGTTTTGAAAGTATCAAGTACATTTGCCTCCGCGTCGGACCAATGATGTTAAACCCCCCCCCCCCACCAACACCAATGTTTAAATTAAGTCAGACGTTTTTGTCCCATCCAAATAAACAAACAAGAGTGAATGAATGAAACCTTCTTATTTCTGTAATGGAGAAAGCTTAAGTCTGAGGTTATGCTGAGGGAAAAATACTTGAAGGAAGAAACAGGGGCGTATCCATGAAATTGAGCAGAGGGGGTTTCAGGGGGGAAAATGTCAAATTTGGTGCGAGGTGTTGGGGATTACCCAAGAATTTGATAAAATCAGCAGAAGCCCTGAAACAATATTTCTGCCTGCTCATTTAGGTACATATATAGGATAAGACTGGAGTGACGCTAAAACTGCAGCAATGGGGCAAAAAAAAAAACCTCGAAGGTAAATTAATACAAAAAGTTGTTTTAACAAAGGTTCCCCCCATCCCACCCCAGTATAACTGAGGATGGGGGCTTTCTGAAACAGCATCCCTGCTCCAACCCTGAATTATATAGTTAAAAATAAACAGAAATGTAAAATACAGTTGAACTTAACTTCCACTCAGAAGAACGAAGAACCCAACCCATTCCACCAACATAACAGGTACCAGTAGCTATGGATTCCACTTTGTCTTGTACTTTTATTTTAACATGTATTATGTAAGAGCTAAATCTGCCTATTGCAGGTCTTTCTTTTGGCCTGAAATGTTATATAAACTATTAATTAGACATTTTTATTCACATAACAAGTCTATAATCAAATCACTAGAACATGGAATGGCTGTGATATTAAGTGTATTAAAAAATGTCTGCCATATTATTGTTAAAGGGACAATAACACTCTTGCTGGCTTGAAAGCTCCAGAAAATAAATAATATCTCTATCTAAGTACTAGATGTTTAAGTGTCCTACCTGTTGTGTAAATTATCCATTACATCCTATTTTACTTGTCCAGAGGGTTCGAAAATATTTTTAAATCGAAGTTTCATTTGAAAAGGTTTACGTTAAATGTTTCAAACCATTATGTTGAATTTTTCAAAATTTGTAAATAAAGTGTGTTAAGATGAAATTTGTATCATCAATTAATTGGAATATTGTAAAATAGTACAATTTGTTGACCAGAATAAAGATTGGGACATATTATTCAGTTACAACAAGAGTGGTATTGAGCCTTTAAACATATATTATCGTAGCAATGGTACTTGATAATCAAGGCTACTATTTCTTGTCAAAACTTTGCTCAGAATACATTAATTTGACTGATATTTTCCATATATTTTTCATGATCTACATGAAGGTGTATTTTTAAGCCAGCTCTTTATCTAAATCTTACATGATGCATCTTTAATTGGCATTAAGTATAAATGAATTTGTAACATGGATGGGAAATCTTCCTTTGTTCTTTTCGTTGAATAAGCAGATTGTTTTCCCTCTAGTAGATTGGGTGGAGCTTAACCGTGCAATAACTAGATATGTTCAATGTTATTGCACTCTTTTGCTGGTTTACACTAGTTTTAGTAGAAATCATACACAGAAGTGGGGTAGATTTTCTGTGCAATAACAATAAGCATGTTGAGCAGTTGTCAATGTTACAAGTCATTTATAGCACGCTTCATTCGTTAACAGGTTTAACCCCTCAGCCTCTGGTTAAACGGGGATCACGTGGCTAAGTGGGTAAGACGCTAGCTCGCTAGCCTGGAGGTCGGATGTTCGATCCCTGCATTGGCCGAGAAAGTTCATCCAGATTTTCCGGCGTGGTTCTCCCTTGTCAGTGATGCAGGACGGAGGGGCTGACAAGGAAAGCTGTCTAGTCGTTCGGATGGGACGAAAAACCGAGGTCCCGTGTACACATTGGCGTGCACGTAAAAGATCCCTTGGCAGTTGGAATTCGATATAAGAGTAGGCCGTAGTGCCGCTGTCCGGGCAAAATTTCCCTCATAGCACACTGTATGGCGTATGCCCGTCTTCATTAGCCCAGGTTAGGAGCAGAAAAGTAGGACGTTAAACTCCATTTCATTTCATTTTCATTTCATTTCTCTGGTTAAACCTGTTAACTCATGAAATCCGTGCTATAAATATAATATAGGGCTAGTTAAAGTTATTCATATCCTGCAATACATTGATATCCTGTAACTTCGGGCCTCCCAAATTGGGCCCCTCATTTTCTACAATTGGCCCTGAAACAGTTAACCCCTATTAGTACCAGACTGCACCTATTTAAGCTCTATCATCGAAATGTCTATGACCAAAACATTGACCTACCCTTCTACTATTGGGTAAGTAGTGAACTAGAAAATAACAATATTATTTTGTGGGAAAATAATGAATTCGTGTTCATTTCAGAATTTCATATTACCTAATGTGTCTTTAATTAAGATTGTTTTTGATTAAGAGTTCTCAAGGACTTCCTGAAAATAAAGACTACACCTAACTATAGTTGTGAATGGTTGAGATGATGATGATGATGATGATGATTTTTATTAAGAGCGTCCAAAGACCCCATGAAAAATGATGATGTGGATGATAAAGATTAGACCCATATTTGAGAATATTATTGACAGTGATGATGATGGTGATGATGATTTAGATATATATAATTGTGAATATAGTAATCAAGATATAGATGTTATTCAATACAGGTGTGACAGGTAAGACAATGATCTGTTTTATTTTGTCATGTTGTTATATTTATGCACATTCATTGACTGCTCTTTGTTTGATAAATTAGGGGGGTTGGATGGCCGAATGGTTAGCACGTGTGTGCTGTATCATAAGGCTTGTCATTGAGTCAACTGGCATGGTTTCAAATCCCTGGTTGTACGTGATAAGAAGAAGGGTCGTCTGTCCAACCTCGTGGGTTTTCTCCAGGTACTCCAGTTTCCTCCCACTGCTAAAGACCCCTACGCGCAATCAAATTATTGAAATAAAAAATTAAACCATATCTTAGCCTTAAAATGACCTAGTTTGTGTCGAGTGGACGTTAAACCCCATTTCTCTCTCTCTCTCTCTCTCTTGATAAATTAATTATGAGTTATTTAATGTTGAATCATAAACGGAAACATGTGAACATTATCTTACTCCCTTGACGCTGATAGGCAGATGGATTCATTCAAAAGTTTACAGGATTCTAATGGTCTGATTTTATATGGTATTTATTAATGGTATTACAGCTAATTACAGCCTAATTATTGCTTAATTAAAAGATTGGGTATTTAAAGAGGCCATATCACTTTCACCAAATAAATAAATGTTATTAATTTGAAATAACATGATATTCAAAATAAGCTAAGCCTCTCCCAATTAATGAATATCTAATCATTGGCTTAGTTTACAGAGAATATCCAATCAATGGCTTAGTTTACAGAGAGAGAGAGTGAGAGAGAGAGAGAGAGAGAGATTAACATCCACTTGACACAAACTAGGTCATTTGGGGACTAAAATATGGTTCAATTTTATTTCAATAATTCACCTGCGTGTAGGGGTCTCTAGCAGTGGGAGGAAACTGGAAGACCCCCGATTCTACACTAATAACGAAAAACAAAGACCCTGTCATGCTGCAGTGTGTGGAGGTGTGCAAGGGCAAAATTTCAGGTGTGAGGGTGGTACTTTGGTATGACAGAACCATGGAAAGTACACCTCTACCAGTTTTTCTTTGGATGAAATTAGTGAATATCTACAGCACACAGTTAGTTAGATTATAATAGATTTGTTAATTACCTTATATCAGACATGACACTGACAGGTACCTTAGAAATTATTGTCATGCACTAAAACAAGCTGCCAAAATTTTCACAATCAAAGATA